TTGGTATGCCTGGAGAGCTGTACTATTGTCCGTCCTCGCCTTTCAGCTTGTGGGCTCTGAAAGTAAAAAAAAAATTAACATGCTGCAGAAGTTTCATCTTGCTTTGTGTGAAGAAGTGGATTAACTGCATGCAAAACTGTGCTCTGGAGGGGCAGCTGATAGCTGTCTAGATGTGCGTTTTCCTAAGCTCTAATTATGTGGCTTAAAGATTTTTTGTGCTTCAGAACAAATTATCACATTCTTTCAGATGAAAAGATAAAATGTACTGTCCCTGAGGAATCACTTTGAGGGTTGGCTTAGTGTTGAATGAGATTTTAATTGAGTAGCTGTTAAGAAACTTTGTTTCTCTCATAGGTGACTTTCTTACTGAATTCTTCAAGCTTTGCCGCCGGAAGGAGTCGACGGATGAGATACTTGGAAGATCTGCATTTGAAGAGGAAGGAAAAGGTAAAACTAAAATCTTGATGATTTGTGTTACTTGAATTTAATTGTTAGGCATTTTCTGTAATGCTCCTAGAAATTTTCTGGTCAGTGCTACATGTATAATTTCTGATGAATTATGTGCTGACACGGTGTAAGGTCATAGGTATAGTGATTAATACCGGATTTATTTAGGGCTCATCTAAAGCTCGCGCATCTGCTTGAACAGCCTTTGTTACTTGTGATGTATTTGTTGGTTTCGTGTCTAAACAATGTTTAAATACTGGTTTGTCAGCAGGCTTTTTACTGATCCTCTGCCTGTAATTGTCTGCAGGAGTGCAGTACTGCTACAGTAGGTGGCAGGCGCTACCTACAGCCAACACAATCTAGGCTTCATTCAGTAAAATAAATCAAGGACAGTCTGGGACTCCTTTGTGACCTTGTTCCTGCTGCTTTATCTTTGTGGCTAAGAACACTGTAATGTGTGGAACCTGAGAGCCCAGGGGTGTAGCTTTGGCTAACAGGGTGTTAAAAATCAATACAAGATAAACAGGCTGAATACGACAGGTGAACTTTTTAAAGATACGGTCTTCTGGGTTTTGGGGGTTTATTTTAATTATTTTTATTTTATTTCGTAGAGGTTGCTGATATTACTCATGCTTTGTCGAAGCTCACAGAGCCGGCACCGGTCCCAATCCATAAATTGTCAGTCACAAATATGGTTCACAGTGCAAAGAAAAAAATTCGCAAACACAGAGGTGTAGATGAATCACCTCTAAACAATGAAGTTCTGAACACCATTCTTCTGGTGAGTGAGCTGTCTGTGCACATTAAATGCATGTAAAATACAAGTTTCATGCTTCCACTGATGCATTTGGTTTAGAGTTTGTGGCAGAATTATAAATAAAGGTCTCTGATGTCAGTCCCGTTATTTGAATTGCATTATCAGCTTTCTGAAACAGCCCAAGTTATTACAAGTATCTACAATATAAGTAGGATGAAAATAAACTCTGAACTCTGGTGACAATTTTAGTTACAGGGATTGCAGGTGTGTAATCAGCAGTAGCTTTAGGGAGAAAGTGGGAAAAGCAGGATGCAAGGATACATACTGATGCAAGTTTGGATTTTATTTTTCTTCTTTGAAGTTCTTATTTCCTGATGCTGCTGACAAGCTCATGGATGGATTTGAAAGCAGAACCAGTGCTTCTGCAGGAAACAATCCTCCGCCAGAGAATGAAGACTATGTAAGTTTTACTGACTTCACTGACACTCAGGGGAGAGAGAAAGCAATTCTGAGTGTGTGCTCAGATGGACTTTACTGTGGTTGCCCTATGTCTTGTAGTAGATCATTTTTGGAAAGATGAAGTTACCTTTGTGGAATCTCTAGGTAGAAATAGTGATTATTTTGGTGGTGGTGGTGGTGTTGTGGGGACTTTTTTTTTGGTGGTTTGGTTGTTTTTTTTTGTTCTGTTTAGATTTTTCCTTCTAAATTTTTTTCTTCTTTCAAAGACTGTCGGGGTTTTTTTTGTAGCTTATGCTAATAGGCTTAAAATATTTAGCTAATTGTATTATCAATCAGGAAAGAGATCGTACGGTTTTGGAAAAAATGTAATTGCTTTTTTATCTCCTGCTTTCTTTTATTTTTCACATAGAATCTCTTCAGTCAGTTTAAATCTGCTCCTTCTGATAGTCTGACGTACAAACTAGCTTTATGTCTTTGTATGATAAACTTCTACCACGGAGGAGTTAAAGGGGTGGCACACCTTTGGCAAGAATTTGTGTTGGAAATGCGCTACAGATGGGAGAACAACTACCTTATTCCAGGGTAAGATACTTCTTTGTTGTGGCTTTGTCATAGAAAATATTGTTTGTTTCAGGAACAGAGTGAGTTCACTGTGACTTTGAAACATATTGTTTGTTGGTTTTCTTTTAAAAATTGCCAGTGCTATTCTCTATTTTTATTACCCTACTTCCTTTAAGCACTAAAGGGTAGGCAGTAGGGAAATGTGTCTGCCCTCCTTTGAAAACTTCAAGGTGTCTGGAGGAAGCTCAAGTTAGAGCACTCCATGGTGGGAATGAGGGTGGGGGGAAAAAAAGTGCTTTTGCAAATAGTTGGCTTCCAGTTTTCCACTAGAAAAGGAAATGAAGTAGAGATATAGTGAGGAACACCTTTGATACATAGTGTGGTTTCTCCACTTTTCTAAGGGAGTTGTTCCCTGTTCCTGCTGGTGAAGTAGTGTTTTCAGGCAGCTGATGCTGTCTCCTTCCAGGCCACGTCTGCTGCAGCAGCTTGTTGCAGAACAAATGAAGGGTTCTGCCAAGCTGAGATATCAACGTAGAGCAAAAATATATCCTTTTTTTTTGCTTTAAATGGAATGGACTGGCCATTTATTTGCCATTTTGTACTTTTAAATGGTTACACTAAGAGAACGCAGCTCTAAATATATAGAGATGATTTTACTATATCACTGCAGTTTTAAAAGTAAAGTCAAAGGTTCTTAAGTTTTGTTTGAAAACAGTTACCCTTTTAACATCCAAATGGAAAACTGACCAGGAAATACAGGGTGTGTCTGTTTTGTACTAGTGGGAATGATCTCTGAGCTTCAGAAAAGACCTCTAAGAAATAAATGTAGATTAACTTCTGGGCTTGTTCAGTCACTGTCTTGTCTTCTGAGATCATAGAAGAGCTGTGTAGTTGAAATGGTGGGGGTGGGTTCCATGTGGATATTTGCCCTTCTTTTGGATTTCATATGATTTAAGACCACATGTGTGTAAAAGATTCAACTTGATAATGGTTACACTTCTACCTTTTGTTAGATTAGCTAGTGGCCCTCCAGATCTGAGATGCTGTTTACTGCATCAGAAACTTCAGGTAAATATCCCAAATTTAAGAATGACTTTTTTTCTTCTAAGAAAACTGTCAAAATTTTAAAAATTATATTTTTAAATATATTGGGGTTTGTAGATTTGGTTATGCTTGTATTATTGGGTCTGGATTTAATTTCTTGGGAAATCTTTGTTATAGAAACAAGTTCAATGGAATTATTATCTTTTAGAATTGTAAGAGATTTTTGGTGACTCTCCAAGTTTTTCTGTGACATTGTTTGTTTTTATAAGAGAAGTAATTGCTAAACAATTTTTTTCCCCCTTTCACTTGTTAGATGTTAAATTGTTGCATAGAAAGAAAGAAGGCAAGAGATGAGGGGAAAAGGGGGAGCGTGTCTGATCGCTCACCTGGTGATACTGGCAAAGGAGCAGAACACTCTGGAGATAACCCTGATAAGGAAAAAGAAGTTGGCAAGTCTTGGGAATCGTGGAGTGACAGTGAAGAGGAATTTTTTGAATGTCTGAGTGACACAGAAGATCTTAAAGGAAATGGGCAGGATAATGGAAAGAAAGGAGCAAAAGAAGGCAACAAAGAGCCTGTAAACTTAAAACCAGAAGGTCGCCTGCATCCACATGGGAAGCTGACGCTGCTGCACCCAGGAGAGCCTCTCTACATCCCAATAACACAGGTTGGGGAGCAAGAGCTGAGCCAGATGTGCAATATGAATCTCGTGCAAATATGGCTCCTGCCTAGGGCTGTGGAGTTGTGTATAGCTTGTGGGTTATATTCTTATCTGCTGTTAAAATTGCTAAGTGGTTTTGGCCTAAGATCTTGTTTTCCATTTTAAAAACTTGTTGAGGCTGTTAAACTGAAATCTCACATGCTCTTTGTTTTATTTGAGAATGGGTCGTCTTAGCAAATTTCACTCAAACCAGATTTTTTTAAAACAAGAATTAAGCTGTGTTTACTACCTTGAAATTTGGGTTCATTTTATTACAGCTCTTGAGGCATCTTTCCTTCCTGTGAAGTAGAAACTGCCCTGGTCCTTCCACCATGAAGACTTCTAGCTGACTGACCAGAGAACTGGATCAGTTTTGCTGCTACTTCTTTTTCTTTTTTCTTTAAAAAAAAAAACAACCACAAACCATTTCTCAACTCTTATCTAAAAGGCCACAGCCATCAGGTTTTGGTATCATTATCTAAAGCAGGTTTATCATCAAACTACTAGAAATGTTCCCTGACACTGACTTTCTTGTAGAGTGACTAGGGATAAAATAGGAAGCAGTGGTGTCAGAGGAAGTAGTTTGCAATCAGCTATGCAGGAAGAATATAGTATTTTTCATTCCATTGAGAGAAATAATTTTGAATGAATATTGCTTTGCGTGGGTAAAAGTTATGAGCAGAGTGTAGTCAGGCAAAATGTTGTCAATTAATTACCTGCTGACAGTATCAACAGCAAAAATTCTACATTGTTTTAGGTGGATTTTCATCCATCTCAACAAACAAATGAACTTTTGGTGACAGGGAAAATTCCGCTCCTCCTTTCTCATTAAGGGCTGAGTCTAGGAGAGGCTATTTGTAAATTTGTCTTTTTCCATGTTGCAGGAACCAGCACCCATGACTGAAGATTTGCTGGAAGAACAGTCTGAGGTACTGGCAAAACTGGGGACATCAGCAGAAGGTGCTCATCTTCGGGCACGCATGCAGAGTGCCTGCTTGCTCTCAGATATGGAGTCTTTTAAGGTACTAATACTTAAAGAATGCTGTGAGACTAGCTTTTTTCTTAATTAAGCTATCCCTCTTGCTTGTTTTGAACAATTTTGAAGGTTTTTCTGACAAGTTGTGTTTGTTTTTTCTCCACAAAACAGTTTCACAATAGTTTAAAGTTGAAAATAAAAACCCACTGATAAAACTCTTGGAACATTTAAAAATCTTATGACTGTCCAGTCTATTATGCTGTAACCTCCCAGTAAAGTTGCACAACGTCTGTGGGAAGGGAAAAAGCCTGCAAAAAACATACAGTTGATAAATTGGGAATTGAAACTCAGACAAGTCTGTACAAAATGAGGTCAGAACAAAACTGAGCATCAGAGTCCTGAGTCAAAAAGACACGTGTCTCCCTCCCACCGCTTTGTAGTTTTTGTTTAGTGTCTCTCTCACCTGTACTTTCCACTGTGTCTAGCTCTGTAAAATGCACCTTTAACCAGACTCCAAATGGATAAAATCTAGAGACAGTATAAAGAAAAACCAACTAAGACATTCACGGTTCTGTTATTGGGACTCTGGGGAGGTGAACGTAACTTTTATGTAGAGCTGAAGATGTTTTGTTCTTTTGCAGGAAGGATAAGTTACCGCTATTTAAATGTCCTGTACAGCTGTTCATCAAATTGGGACGGGACTAGCTGTGGTTTGGGGTAGTTTGTTCCATTTCTTTTCTGAGCTCTGCAGAGGGAGCTAAGAGCACATACACTACTGTAGCAAAGGATCTCAAAACACAAAAAAGATTGACGATTCTGTCATGAAATAGCTATTTCATAATTTTTTTTAAATTATCGCAATGTTTGTAGTGAAACGTTAGAGATGTGCTGTAGAGTAAGACTACAACATATCAATATCATTTGATTAGCAGTGACTCGTGTCATATTAGATATATATGTAGCAGTTTTATTTCTATGGTGCAAGTGATCTAGAAGCTCAAAATAATAATATAGAACCCTAATTTGAAGGGGAAGTGCCCTCTTGTTACGTACATTGCATAGTAAACTGGGTTTCCTTTTATGTTCTAGACCTATGGATGTATTTATTTGTGTTGACGTTGCATCTATGAAAAATGAAGTTGTTTTGTTTTGGAATGTTTGTGGGTTTTTTTAAGTTCCTTTTGAAAGGAAGAAGAAAAGGTGAATTTTGTTACTGGGGTGATAAGAGATGGAAAGTCAGTGCTGAAAGCATGTTTATGCAGCCCAGTGATTCTTTTAGGCTTGGCTGTTTTTCATACAAGTCTTTAATGGTATAAGCTTATGGATAAAAAAATTAGTGAAAATTCATACTTACTGCATGTATCAGGTACCATATAGAAGTTTGAATTAATGGTATAATTTTGAGCTTGCCTAAAATAGGTGATGAATGTACTGGTTTTGGGGCGATAAGAAGGTTTCTTTGTTTTTGTTGATGGTGTGGGTTTTACCCCTTGCCATTGTCTTGGTTTATGCTTTATTCCCTCACCCCCCCAGGCCTCTTCCCTAGTGTACAGTTTGGTGACTGAACAGAATTCCCTGAGTTTGGGCTCCTACCCTATGCTCTACCCACGGAACCGTATCACCTTCCTACCCAGGTTACCATGTTTTTATAGGACTTTTCAGGCACGGTTTTCATCTCCTCTTCATTGCAGGCAGCTAATCCCGGCTGTTGTCTGGAGGATTTCGTGCGGTGGTACTCCCCTCGGGATTACATTGAAGAGGAAGTGGTTGATGAGAAGGGGAATATAGTAATTAAGGGGGAGCTGAGTGCCCGAATGAAGATTCCAAGCAACATGTGGGTAGAGGCCTGGGAGACAGCAAAACCAGTCCCAGCTCGGAGGCAGAAGAGACTCTTCGATGACACTAGAGAGGCAGAGAAGGTAAAGAGCTCTGGGGCTTGTGACCCTCGTTAGCTTTATCTTTGGGAAGTAGTTTTGACCACTAATATATTGAATTTTCTAATGGTTTAGGTGCTTCATTACCTTGCAGTTCAGAAACCAGCTGACCTTGCAAGGCATCTCTTGCCTTGCATCATCCATGCAGCTGTACTCAAGGTAAAGGAAGAAGGTAAATAACATTTAATAAATTATTAAGTTACTTTAGGCTGAACATGGATGCAGTAATTACACCTTCTTCATTTCTTTTTCTCCTAATAGAAACACTAGAAGATATATCTTCAGTTAAGAAGATTATTAAGCAGATAATATCCCATTCCAGTAAGGTTCTACGATTCCCAAATCCAGAGGAAAAGAAGTTGGAAGTAAGACACTTATACTGGTTGGAGCTGAAAACTTAATAGACTTTTACACTGCTCATGGGAGCGCTAAAAGAACATCTTTTTAATTTTCATTGTTATTAAACTCCTGCAGGAAATCATCGCTCAGATCATGAGTGTGGAAGCTATCATCGCCAGGGCCAGGTCTCTGAAAGCAAAATTTGGGGTGGAGAAATGTGAAAATGAGGAGGAGAAACAAGATCTACAAAGGTGACTGATTTTTTTCGTAAATATTCTCCCCCCCCCGCCCCGCTTTGTTTTTTTTCAAACAAAATCTGTGTTGGTTTTGTTTTCCTCTGATGCCCTTTTTTTGTAGTGTCAAAATGTAGAACAAATGGACGTGGTAATAATACAGAAATATTAAGGAATCTTATTTAGTAGGTTCCCCTGTCCCTAGGCTATCTAGAGACGTTGGATGTGGGTACCCTAAATGCTCCTCTAAGTAACCATCTCTTTGAAAACACGATTTAATTTAATGGATTTAATTTAATGCAGATTAATTTAATGGATTTAATTTAATGCAGGTTACTTTAATGGATTTGTTTTTATCTTGACAGTACTGGGGATTTAATTTATTTTTTCATGTATGGAAAAGGTATATTTGATGAACTTTGTTACAACAGAGGTAAAATTAGAAAGGACTAGAAATTTAGTGTTTTCTCTAAGTAATATGGAATAAAACACCCTCCCCGAAGTTACGTTTTCTTATTCTAGTCTCCTTACTAATTTGAAATGTTACTGAGGAACCATATAAATGCAACATTATGTTAAAACTTCTTGCTGCTGTGCTGAGAGGGAGAGATTACATCTTTGTAGCACACGTTGGGAGCTCAGAGGGCTGGTGTCTGACCAAAGCAACATATTGCTGCTCAAAAAACTAGTCATGTTACTTCTGAGTGGCTGACACCATGAAAGCTTTTCATGCTGAATTTACACATCTGTGTTAGGAGCCTGGGTTCTGCTTATAGTTAACTGAGAGAAGCAAGCCTTCCTTTCTGAGGGTGAATTGCAACCCAGGTGTTAATTGGTGCTGCTGCTGGAGCTCAAAGGAAGCAGCTGTATAATCCTGCCTTTCCTGCCCTTCCGTGGGAGGCTGCTGTGTTCAGCTTGGGTTTGACCCACCCACAGCTGCTTGTATTGGCATGAAAGAAAGCAGCAAGGTAGGAGGGAACAGCTGAAGGGTGAGGAGGGGGAGTTACTCTTTAGGGTAGAGGGAAATGAGTCAAGGGATGAAAAGGTGATGATGGTGTTTGGGTGGGATGCTGAGAAATGCCAGGGTGTTCTCCTTAAACTTTTAGAACTTGAGAGTGTCTCCCCGTTCTGGCTCTGTGCAGATGGTGCGAGGTGGAGACCTCCTCACAGGAAACAGTTCTGGTTTTAGATCAGCAAACTGGATACAGCTGAGAATTAAACATTCCTTTTTCCTTTCCAATAATTTGTGCCACCAGATTCGTAAACTGTCTCCTGGACCAGCCGGAGGTGTCAGTTATCGGTGCAGGAAGAGGACCTGCTGGTAGCATCATTCACAAGCTCTTTGTGAACGCTCAGAGGGTAAGAGCTTCATTGCTTTGCAAGACACTTGTAAGTTAAGCAGTATAAGGCAACAACTTACCATATGATGCCAGTTTATTTTGTCTGCATATATGCATGTTTTGTCATAAATGTGCTTGAGGATTTCTTTGTGAGGTTCAACATGGTTTTGGCGGTAATAGAACCTTGCAAAATGAAGGAAGAGTAAATAAGCTGGGATGTTAAACAATTAAAGCCAGCTGGGTAGGTAGAGCTGCCATTAATGTTTGATTTACATCAAATAGTAACATCAGTAATGCTATTATGGTAGAATTTTCTGCTTTATTCAAGTTACACAGTATGTGCAACATCACAGCAAGAACAATCAAGTATGTTGATTGTCTCATGTAGGAATGTAGAGAAACACATCATAATACGGTAAATAAGCTGGGATGTTAAACAATTAAAGTGAGCTGGGTAGGTAGAGCTGATGTTTGATTTACATCAGATGGTAACATCAGTAATGCTATTATGGCAGAAATTTCTGCTTTATTCAAGTTACACAGCATGTGCAACATCACAGCACGAACAATCAAGTGTCTTGATTGTCTCACATAGGAATGTAGAGAAACACATCATAATACAAAATACTTGATAAGGAGTAACTTTTTAGACTGAGGCTTATACTTGGAATACTCGAGATTTCTTCTGTTAAAACTAGTTAGTTCTTTTCCAGTACAACTCTACATTCAGTTTACTTATTGCCAGTGTTGTATGTATTTTCTGGAAACCCCTCCCCAGCCTGTATTGGTATAAGTATTTCCTTTTTCTCTTAAGCAGTCTTTGTAATAATTGGCCTTAAATTATTGATTTCCAGGCTGCTTAGACTGCAGTCAGTCGCTGTCAGAATTACCCCTGTTCAGAGCATCAAATTATCTAACTGAAATTTAACTGCAGTGATAATTACAAGGTAGCATGGTACTGCAGGCACCTTAAAGCCTGAAATCCCCTTTGGAAATCATTGCTGGAAAAATACTGTGATTGGATATTAAACACTCGCACCTTAAAGCCTGAAATCCCCTTTGGAAAAATATTGTGATTGGATATTAAACACTTGGAAGGTATGGATGCTTTTATAAGAATCTGTATAAAGGACCATTCTGAAAACAGCCTGTGGTTATTCTCAGAAATGAAAATCAGAACGTTTATTTTATCCTTCTAGTCTCTAGGGAAAATCTGGTTGCAAATCTCAACATGTCAGCCAGCCTCACCTTCCCTGTAGAGCCTGAGGTTGTGCCCTGTAAGCATGTGCTTGCCTTTGTAATATCCAGTAATCATGATTTTAAAGCTGAGTAGGAGTTACTAGCCTTAATTTTCGATAAAGATGCATGTAAATGTCTAGGGGTTTGTTTCTTTTGTAACATCAGTACCTAAAGACAGATTACAGGCACTTCCCACTCGGAGCTGGTCACTGGTAATTTTGACTTCTTAGTGGGACAGGAGGTAACTTGTTACATAAACCCCTCGTGTTTAACCCACCATGAGTTATTTCCGTAGAGAGCTGTTTGGTTAGTACAAGGTGAATGTCTTCCTTGTTTGTTACCTTTTGAACCTGGCTGCCTCTCCCAGTTGTGTGAAATGTCTTGTTATATCCTCAAGCTTTCTCAGGGAGATTACGATAGCAAGTGCATGCTCTTGGGAGTAGAGTGCATGATGTCTCTTAAACCTACAGTCTCCTTCTAACCTCTTGTAAGTCACCTCTGACTTGCCTTTGTTTCTATCTTTCATCCCTGGTTCTTTTCTCATCCCTTTCCAAGCTGACTGAATCTTCTGATGAGGTAACCAACTTTGTCCCTCGTTTCCTGCTCATCTTCCCTAGCTGCATAGACTTCAACCTTTTGGTAGATCTAGCGCAGCAGCAGCCTGGTTTAGTTTTAATCTGTTGTTCACATGTTAAGCATAAAAATAATTTTGTGTTTCCAGAATGGTTTTTTCCTCATTCACAGACTATTTTTAGAGCCTAACAGGTAGTGAAAAGAGAGAGAAATCTTTTTAAAAACAAAACAAAACCAAAATAAACCAAAACCCAAACCAACCAAGCAAAAAAAACATTTCTTCAAGTGACTGTTAACATTTTCTGATGCTGAAATATGTGGCCTTGCCTTTATATTCTTCTTTCTTGCTGTCACTGTGTTTTGTGTATTGAACAGCCAGATGTTTGGGGGATCAGGTAGAGATGGACAGTCCCTGAATGTCACAGTCCTGCACACCAGATCTTACTGACACCACTGAGTGTTCTGGACAGAGATAGAGAGAGATTTGAGGAAGAACTGGGGTAACTACGTGAAGAAGTGTGGCAACTGGGAGAACCCTCTCTGGTTTCCTAGAACTGCTCTTGTGGGAACTGCTCTTGTCCCTGGTGATGTTTCCTGTGGTGCAAGTCCCTGCTCCTGGGCAGAGGGGTGGGAGCAGTGGGGCAGCTGAGGGGGGACGGCGAGGGTTGTCTGGTGGGTTCTGCCACTTTTATTAGGACTTAATTAGGACCCTATATATTTGTATTGGTGTTTGTGTATATATATGTATGTATATGTACTTAGGGGATGCTCATTGGGCCGATTGGTGGGTGCCAGCCCATTTCCAGTATTCAGACTCTCTGCTTAGTGGCTCTGAGGCACTGGGTGCTGATGGAGATCGCACAGCATCTCGCTTGCTCTGCAGCTCACTTTGGCCAGCCTCTCTCTGGCCATGAAAAGCACCTCTTGAGCCTGAAAAGGCAGGTGACTTTTTGTGAAGACTCCAGTGGTGGCAGTGGTTGGTTGTACAAGGAGGCCGGCTTGGCCTGGTGTAGCCACAGCGAGCAGAGGGGAGCGCCCTGCTTCAGAAGGGCATTTCATCAGAAAATCAGGAGCTTCACCTAGGCTGAGCTTCACCATCCACACATGAAGGTTCTTCCATTTGATTGTGCGCAGCTTATTTCTTGACATCCCATTAGTGTCTTGCTCTGTGTACACGTGAAGCCTTTTGACGTCTTTTACCATTTCTAATCTTCCTCCGTTCCTCTTAAGAAATATTTTTTTCTGAATCCTGCTAGCTCTGTGTACACGTGAAGCCTTTTGACGTCTTTTACCATTTCTAATCTTCCTCTGTTCCTCTTAAGAAATATTTTTTCTGAATCCTACTGTGAAGAACCAGCTTGCCCTGCAATGATACCTCTGCCCTTCTTTAAGGTTTCGGCCGTGCCGCCGCTTGATGAAGAGCTGAGGAGATCGGGGTCAGCAGAGGAGCGCAGACTCAGCGCGGGGGCCGTCTCCGACTTCCCCCCGCCCACGGGTCGCGAGGTGATTCTGCGCACGACCGTCCCCCGTCCCGCTCCTTACTCCAAGGCGCTGCCCCAGCGCATGTACAGCGTGCTCACCAAGGAGGACTTCCGACTCGCTGGTGCCTTCTCAGCAGATACCACCTTCTTCTGACGTAACCACCCGCGTTACCCTGTGGGTCTCCACAAGTCGCGTGCTCTTCATTTTCCTTCCGGGAAGTTAACATGGATTGACTGGGTTGTGGCGAGGAGAAAGCACGGTCCTCATTAGTGACAGAGTGTCACATTCGCAAGGACAGAGCTGAGCTGGCAGCTGAGAAGGATGCCTAGAGCAGCTCTAACTTGGAGGTCTGCAATGGCTCCACAAGTAGTTTTAATCAGATCTTTGGGGAAGAAAGTTTAGCAATCATCTCCTCTCTCTCCAAAGGGAGCATATTGGTATTTTTTTCCCATAGCTTGTTTAATAAGGGACATGATTGGGCTGTATGCAAATAACTCATGGTGAAATTCATGCAGAACGTGCTGCTTTACAGTTCTTAATCAGACTTTATCAAGTGACAGTAGCCTACTTAAATTGATGTGCAAACATTAAGTAATTCGTATTTATTGCCAATCATCAATATTTAGCCCGGTATTTTTTGGTCAATCATTAAGTTGTAAATACTTCTAAAATGTCATTAATTTTACTCAGTATACAGTACCTTCTGGTTCCCGCTAAACTCTTCTAGCATTGCAGCAGATCCAGAAGGATCTTGTCTTGGACACTTCTCCCAAATAGAAAGAACTATCTTTGGGGCTGTAACTGGCCAGGAAGCCTGCTCGCCTTAAGTGGATCGCTGACGGTTTTGGAGACTTTCCATCCTTCCCTGCATGCAAGGGCCAAGGCTGGGTGTAAAGGAGGGCGCAGAGGTGTTGGGCTGTAAGCAGGTGCCTGGGATTTATAGAGAGCGTTTGAACACAGACTGTGGCTGATTTGGTGACAGGATTCCATCGCCTGCTGTAAATGAACCCCCCCACCCCGGGATGTCACGCGAACACTACGACCTGTACGTGCCAATGTTGCTTTACAGTCATCCTGCTGTGTTTTAGTGACAATCAGCAAAAGATCAGCGTTACTTTACAAAGTGAAATGTAAAAACAGCTACGGTATTGTTGACGTTATTCAATAAATCTGAACTTATTATTGGCTCTCGGGCTTCAAGTGCTAGCAATGGTTTCGTCAAAGTACTTTTAAGATGTCATCCTTGCCTGACATGACCTAGGAACAGCACTGTTTGTGACTGTCACTACGTAAATACAGAAAGTTAAGTTCTGTCTCAGATAGTTGGGGCCCAGGTGTTACCCTGAAACTCCTTGGAGGGGATGGGGCCGGGGTGAGAGTGTTTCCCCCGGATAAAGCTGTATCCAGTGGTGTGACAGCACTTACTCCTGCTTTACAGCATTCAGACAGAAAAAGAATTTAAAAAAAGAAAAGCACAGGGAAAAAACAAATGTATTTATTTGAAATAACCGTAAAGCCACATGAACAGTCCAAAATAACCACTATCTTTGCAACCTTATAACAGAGAATGGGACTCCAGCATTCCCCAGAAACTACCTTTGATGAGATAATTGGTAATATGTATTGTTCCTTATCAGAAATAAGGTTTTAATACAAGCTGGTTTACATAAAAACAGATTTCAACAGCCGTTAATTCTAAATGTCAGCCCTGTAGGTCAGACCCAGTGCCAGCAGTCGGCCTGTCAGGGCTGATCAGAGCTATTGATGGTTTGTGGGTGTGAGGCAGTTTTAGAAAAGACCAATCTCTCACTCACTTGTGCTATTTTTGTCACAACAGCTGTCAGAGCCTGTATTTTCTGCAATAATTATGATACGTGAACAAAGAAAATAATTTGAACTAAGATACCTTCTTGGTCTATAGTGTCCCCAGTACAGCTGAACCCTGTTAAGACCAACAGAAGTTTCAACAAATTTCCTCAAATTCCTGCAGGTCTAACACCATTGCAACAGGAAAACACCAATGCTTCAAAATTGCATTAAGGTTACACAGAGAAATTTAGCTTTACACCGCCAGGTCATAAAAATATAACCATGATCAATACCTTGGATGTACTCACCCAAGCCCCTCCGACAATCAGTGTTATTAGTGATTCCTTGGTTTTAATTCCATACATTCTTCCCTCTACCAACAGCGTGATACAAGGATTTGGGTGCAGGAGGAAGACACTGTAACACCACTGGTTTCCGCGTTACAGCATAAACAAACACACCTTGCGTTTTACATCTTCATGAAAAATTTTGTGATGTCGCAGCCGTACTTTGTAGCCAAGGAGCGTCTCTTCAGCTGGCTTCTCTCCTTGGCCTGTTTGGCAGTTCTCTGGGAAGGGAAAGACAGGGCTGGTCAGCAAGTGTTGCCACTGGGCAGCAGGGTGCTCTGTGGAAGGCATTAGTGCACAGTTAAACTTCAGCCTCATTTTGCAGCACACAACTTAATAAAATGCAAATGTGTGGCCAGCAGGTGGAGGGAGGTCATTCTCCCCCTCTGCTCTGCACTGGTGAGGCCACAACTGGAATACTGAGTCCAGTTCTGGGCTCCCCAGTTCAAGGGGGACAGGGAACTACTGGAAAGAGTCCAGTGTAGGGCAAGATGATTAAGGGATTGGAGCATCTCCCTGATGAGGAAAGGCTCAAAGAGCTGGGGCTTTTTAGCCTGGAGAAGAGAAGGCTGAGGGGAGACATTATTAATGCTGACAAGTATCTAAAGGGTGGGTTGAGGGAGGATGGAGCTGGACTCTTTCCAGTGGTTCCCAGTGACAGGATGGGGGACAACGGGCACAAGCTGGAACATGGGAAGTTCCACTCAAAAATGAGGAAGAACTTTCTGGTGAGGGTGGTGGAGCCCTGGAACAGGCTGCCCAGGGAGGTCATGGAGTCCCCTTCTCTGGAGATCTTCAAGCCCCGCCTGGATGCCGTCCTGAGTGATGTGCTCTGGGCAACCCTGCTTAGCAGGGGAGTTGGACCTCTCTAGAGGTCCCTTCCAACTCCAACAATTCCATGATTCTGGGATTAAGGTGACATTTTCCCAGATCCTGAGGAAACTGTTGCACAGTAACCATTCAGTGCTCCCTTACACCTTGGTGGGTGTGGGATGGAGAGGTTGGGAGCAGAGGGCTGAGGAGACGACCAGTGATGGTCTGCTGCCCGCCATCTACCCACACCGCCTGGGGAGGGTTTCTGGCTACACCCAACTGACCTCTCTGTGGCAGAGCGTGCACAGCGTCTGAAGGTTTTCCAGGGAGCACTGTCCTCCTCCACTGTAAACGGGCTTGATGTGGTCCACCTGCCAGAACTGGCCTTCTGCTGGGCTCCTTATCATTTCATTCAGCTGCAGTAACAAAGGACACGACACGTGAAGGGTTAGCTCTTCCTTCTCCAACTACATGTGTGTTCTACCATAAGCCCAAAGAATCAAGTGCTGATATTCAAACCAAACCCACACAAGTGAAAAAAACGTGCAGCAGCTTGAAGAAGGGGACCCCAACTAGGGATTTGTCATTTTAAGTTTCTGGTGAAGAAAGTGGGAATTGTAACAATAAGCACTGAGGAGCCTGAGGTGCTCAAGCCCCACGTCAGCTTTCCAAAAGTAAGGTGGACACCAAGTTTGGATGGGTGTCTGTAGAACTTATTTAGACAATTCGGAAACAGTAACTTCTGATGCAGAATTTCATCTTTGCAGCAGAAAATAAAAGAGTATTTTAGTTCCTGAATAAAAATCCCACTTTATGCAGGAAGGTTCTCCCTCTCTGCTCCATTGCCCTCAAGTCAGCGAAGCAGCCATCAGGATCATGGAAGAGCAGTGGGAATTTGTAAGGCATTTTGAGGCGGTGCTGAGAGGAGCTGTGACAACAGGCTTTTGTTAAGCTCCTACCAAACATCCTGCAAAGTCAGAATAAGCTAGTACTGCTACACTACATCCACTCCTAAATTGTTTCATAAAGTTCATTAATGAAGTGCATTTCAGGCACAACCAGCTGCAATATTTACATCCCTAAGGAATCAAATTCTGATGCCCATCTCTTGTGGAGATGAAAAATGTGTTAGAAGACATTGAGATTTCTTTGGTGTAGTTTGGTTGTTTTTTCTTATTCTGTTGGTGCCTTCCATCTTTAAACCTGTAAGAAGAACATTTGGGATTTCTCTGAACTCTCTGTGACAGGACTACACGGAATAGCTGTTTCTGCTTCAAACCCTGTTCCTTACCTGCCCCAGTGGGAGGTGAGACAGCCAAGAGCTCTCCAGCAGCTCCTTACGCCGACCCTTGGGCGCGTCTCTGATGCTGAGATAAAGCTCCTGGGCGTTTTGCTTACAAAACTGGCAAACGCCGCGTTCGATCTCAAACACTTTAGTCCTGAGGTAGCTCTGGCTGGAGCGGATGGAGAAGTCCTCCTGGCAGGCGTGAGAGCAGAACCGCGTGTCCCAGGCACGGCAGCCTGGCTCCGGCCGTCCCGCTGGCTGGTGGCAGCTGAGGCAGAGCGGGTTCCCTTGGCTGTCCAGGGCTTGCAGATAGCCCTTGGGTGGGGAGGAGCCTTCAGCCTCCCTCTGCTCCTGTTGAAGAGCTGACAGATCTTCTCCATTTTCCGAAAGCAGCCTGTGTGCAGAGACCAAAGCACAGCTGTTAATAGAGGCGTTCAGCAAACAGCTCAGTTGGATTTTGTTTGGTTGGCTTTTGTTTGTTTTTCTTTGAAGCACTGTGTATTTCCATCAGATAACTCCTATGCTCTGAAATACCCATTTCATTTGAAATACCTTGCTCAGGTTGATACCTGCACAGGGCAAATCATCCACTTGGTTTAATTTCCATTTCAACATAATTTGATAATATAACATTATGACAGATGATATATATATATATATATGACAGATGTTATACAGATTTAATATAAAACATGACAGATTTTTCTTTTGCTCATGTCCTACTACATTTAGTCACGTACACTGAATTATTAGCTGAAATAATGCTGTGTTTATAAAGAAATGGTGGCTTCTGTCAGGCAGGCACACATACAAATGTAAAATGTTTCACAGCCCCCTCTTTAACAGAAGGAAAGAGTCCAAGGAAACATCCTGGTTTCTCTCTGTGACTTTCAAAGCTACCTATTGATTTCCTGCTCTACAGGAGGCTTACCTCCGGGCAGGATACACACTGCATTTTTAATAAAGTTTTATAAAAGGGCATTTTCTGTCTAGAATTTTCACGTTCTCTTCTCCCTTTTTCTAAATTTTGAGGCAGAATGGAAGAAAACTTGGTTTCCCCAATGTGCTGTTGACCTCACAAGCAGGCCTGAGCTCGATTTTCCTTTTCTTTAACTGAATCACGTAACTACTTTCTTGTTTCATTTTAATTAGATTCAGTTAATTATATCAGCAGACACCAGACATAATCTAAATTGTTAGAAGAATAAAACATAGCTCATTAGCACTGCAGCAAGTTTCTTATCTGAACACTGCACTTCAGCAGGGTAAACACTCATAGCAAATCATTTTGCTACCTTAAAAGGGGAGAAGTAGCTTAATCACCTCCTTGCATTAATAAACTTACTTTGTGGAATGACCCGATTGTTCAATAGAAGCACCTTCATTCTTCAGACAAACCCCACCTTCTTTGGAGATGAGGCGCACGCTGCCCCCGCTGCTGCTGGCTTTGCTCAGCGAGGCTGCTGCGACGTCCTCCTTGGTCACATACCTACAAATAATTCACAATCCTGTCAATTTACTACAAAGGGAACAATCTCCCCTGAAGAACCTCCCTACTCTTGGCTGCAGCCAAGAGAACTGCACTTTCTCTTAAAACATCCCCCATTTCCCAGATGAGAAATGAATAAAGGTTGGGAAACATACTTCGTAATTCTTCCTTTTCCTAAAACCAGCTTCAGCTCTAACCGGCAAACAGATGGGTTGTTGGATGTAACACTATGAAAATGAAAGCAATTTGATATTGCCCCACAGTGAAATATGAAAGCTGTTTGGTTTTGTTAGGTGAAGTCTCACTGAAACTCTGGGCTAATCCAGGGAGCTTTCCAAGCTCCGAGGGACTCCGTGCTCCCATTGTTGGGTTTGAACTCACTTCTTTATTTTAATATAAAAGCATACAAAACAACACAGCTCTTAGAATCGCTTCACTCTGATCGTTCTTCCAAAAACCACTATTCAGACATGTGCCAAACTCTATATATACCTTAGAAGATGGCTGTAGGTCTCAGCAGATTTTCCAACCCATTTTTTCCTACTTTTTATGGAATAAAACAATCCAGCAACAGCTTAAGAAACACTTACTACCTGCTGATTCTCCTTCTATCACCTGGATTACAAACTCTATTTATTTACTTGAATTCTCACCTACAGCAAAATTGGAGTCGCCCTGGGGAATTTAACAGCAGGGACAGGGAGGAATGAGAAGGTTTGGGGCAGTTTGCAGAGACACCTCGGTGAGATAACCTGAACACAGGAGAAGTTTTGTGGAGGGCAATGACAACACTGATGCTGCAAATGTCTGTGAGGGAAGACAGCGTATCAGAAGAAGGAAAGGAAGTGCAAAAAAGGTAAATTTAGATTTTAACAAGGATTAAACACTAGCCCTTTTCAGTGACACCCAGCAAGGAAAACAATAGCATTGAGAAATACCATCGAGAAATACCATCCACAGAGAACAGAACTGCTTGAATAAAAATGAGTATCAGGAAAGGTTGGAGCAGGCTGCGAATTATGAATAAAGAATTATATCGTCGATGGCAATTAATGATTTATTCCTGCTTCCAGGTGGGGAAAACAACAAGATTCTTTGACCTTCAATTTTGAGTCCCCGAGGTCTGATTTTTCCTCAAAAAGTTCCAGATGTTGAAATAAGCAGCCAGAACAGCTGCTGAGAGGGGCACGGTGCAGGTTTACCGATGTGCTTGGTTGCCGAGGTTTGTCCTGATGCAATCAAGCCATCATCCAACCTCCCATCTACAGTCTCTCAGCATCCTTCCACTGAAAGTTACGACGGTGCAGGTTTACCGATGTGCTTGGTTGCTGAGGTTTGTCCTGATGCAACAAGCCATCATCCAACAACCCATCTACAGTCTCTCAGCATCCTCCCACTGAAAGTTACATTTAAACACTATCAAACGTCCTGCAGCAATTAGTTAAGAGGAAGGAAAATTTCCAGCCACATACCTTTTGGTGCTGCTGAGCGTTGACTGCTTCTTAGACAACTCCTCGGCAGCGTGAAGAGGGCTACAAAATATCTGGCCGCTCTTTCTGACAATCCTCTGCTTCATTGCTGTGAGACGGCTCCACTCCCTCACAAACCTCAGGATCTGGTGGAGAAGGTCATTGTCAGCAGCGCGACAGGCGTTACACGGAACTCTTTAATTGCAGTGACAGAGCACTATGAATTAAAACCTTCACAACTGGATGAAAACAGCTGGTATGATCAGAGATAGTCCCTTTGGCTCATTTTTCATACAAGCTGCAACCCTCACCTGCTGAAGAATTCCGACAGCTTTGGCATTATCTGAAATAATGGGTTTCCTATGATAGCTGCGTTCATCCAGAAGGTAGAAAATAAGGCCAGAAATGACCTTTACCAATCTAAGGTGTAGCAATCGGAGAAGGGTTTCTTGATAAAGCCTTTCTTGTGTAAGTAAGACTTTGCTGATGGGTAAAACAGACATGAAATAAGAGTTTTCTCCTTACAGCAGCCATTTTCCTCTTGCACCAGGCCTCCCAGAAAAGGAAAGTTTGCTCCTGTTACTCGAGTGGCATATTTAATTGGGTTTATGGACCACTTTCCTTCTTTCCTCTAACCTTCTGATGGATACACAGATTAAATGTTACAGCCCCTGATGTCAGTGTGAAAGGCCAAGCTACAGGTAAATGGGAAGAGCTGTTCAATTTGACTACATATTTCCCACAAAAGTTTTCTAAACTGTAAAATTTTAACAGAATCACTGACATACTTGCTTTGAGGTTATGACATTCCTTTACAACAGTGCAGTGTCAGAAAAACATGCATAACAAAAATTATTATAGTAAACTAGCGATTAATGACGTGAGAAATCAGGTCACCAAATTATCTCAACCACACATCTGGTTTTATGGCAATATTGCCACCCTCTTTGCTGTGGCATTTCAGCACAGCACACCAGATCCGTGAGTAGCAAGTAGAGATGTGCTTTACCATCAAAATATTCAAAGAACATTAGTTTCGAGCAGTTTAACCAGCAATTCATCTTCTTTTACAGCAATCTCATATTGAGAAGCGCAGCATCCCAAGGAAAAACTGATGAACTGTTTAACAAAGTATTTCATAATGGAAATAGAGAATATAGCAGAATATTGATCACCTTTTCTTATTTTGCATTTAGAATTCAAAAGTAGAATAAAATAAAGAGGCTCGGAGGAACTTAATTTCTGGTACTGAATCTTAGTTTTTTAGGAACTAGGAAGCCACCAAAAAAACCCAAACAACTTTTGAAGCTGTAAACTGACAGGACTGGTATCACTAATGGATTTTCTCAATAACTCTAACCACAGAACAGTGAGGAAGTGAAGGAAAAAAACCTATTCCTACATAGGATTTCAGAATTTATAACGTGGCTGCTTGCTTTAGGAGGTGTGTACGGGAAAAATGATTTCATCCCATCCTCATCTCTACAACGGAAAATAAATGGGAGTAATAATATGACAACTGAACAAGTGGTTTGTTTGGATTTTTTTTCCCACTCCCCTTTTTCCACTCTTTTCCTCACTGACTTGCAACTGCCTATAGCAGTCAGTATCACATTGTTTCTGACCACAGACTACAGGAATAACAAACACATTGTGCAGCACAGGCTTAATTGTGACTCAAGCTTTATCCAGGAACAAAATTCCCGACTTCAAGATTATGAGATGGCAACAAATTTCTTTTCCTCCTTGGAGTATTTTTGCATGGCAAATGTAAAAGTGTACAGATGAGTCTGAGCAGCAAGAAAGAAATCAAAGAAGTGGCAGGATATAATGGAAACAGAAACAAGAAGGTATTTCCCTGATTCTTTTTGGGAGCATTTACTAATAGGGATCTTCTAACCCAGAAGAAAAGGCTGAGGGACGGGGACAGGATGTTCCATAAGGCAGTGCTGCTCAATGACCACAGACAGGGGATTCTTAACTTGTCTTTTCAGTCTAGCAAATAGCTTTGAAATCCTTTGGCAACATCTGTGTTACCCTCTCAATAGCTGCTTCACAGAACTGGTGGCTGAATCCGTCAGGTATCTCTCCTACAAATCTATGTTTCAGCCTTGCTGGAGAACCTACCCAAAATAATCAGTTTTGCTCCCAACACAACAGAATCTGATTTTCCAAATTATATTTCTCTTTAAATGGAGAAAACAGCTAAGAAAACTATGTTAAGCAGATAATATTGCACATCAAATTTAAATTACAGATTTCCTCACTCTAGTACTTGGTTTTACAGCGTTAATGTTTTCCTCAAACACCACTATGGACATGATCTTTATTACCAAAACAACTGCAGGGACATGTCTCAGAGGAGACATGTCTCTGGAACAGGCTGCCCAGAGAGGTGGTGGAGTCTCTGTCTCTGGAGACATTCAAAACCCACCTGGACACGTTCCTGTGCAACCTGCTCTAGGTGGACCTGCTTTGGCAGGGGGTTGGACTAGATGACCTCCAGAGGTCCCTTCCAACCCCAAACCATTCTGTGAGCTGTGCCCCACGCTGCTGAGCGTTGTCAGAGGGCCGAAGGAAGAAGTGAGAGTGGAGCCCTGCTCAGAACCACAGCTCTGATACAATCTAGCACGTTCTGATTCCTAATGTGCCCCCTTTAATTCATAACCTTTAAAATGCTATTTTGTTGCCTTACGAATGTTAGTTACTAATCCTGTACGTGAGAAAATAAATGATGCCTGGTTGATTCCATCTACCCAAATGTTAACAGGAGGCATGATAATTTGCCAAAGTAACAGACTGCATAATTAATATTCTCATCAACATTTATAAGATCTGCTTGTATTGATGAAACTGTGCCTAGATCCCAAGGCCTGGAAGTGTTCCGCATTTATTTTAGAAAAAATAAGTCAAACCCCTCCACATTAAATACTATATTACCAGTAGAATTTGTTCTTACCAATAAACGATTTTGTTTCTGCTGGAAAGTTTCTGGTAAATCCTCCCAGTTATCCAGCTGTATGTCCAATGGGATGAAATTATGATTCAGTGGTTCACCATCCTAGAGGAGCAAACAGTTTTGTTTACAGATGTCATGTCGCACAATACAGGAAAAAGATTTATCAGTTTCAGGTGAATTATCCTCCCTTCCTACTAGTTCCTCAAGCTGAGATTTTTCCAGGAACAAAGAATAAGCCACAGACATATCATAATAGCACAGATGCAAGGAATACAATTCACATTAATAAAAATAAAAGTAAACGGGGTGAAAATTTTAACTTTTAATATATCTGAATGGGTTTTTTTGCAAATAGTAATTAAGAAACTGAAATTATAATCCTCTTGACTGAACTTCCCATGTACCTGAATGATTGTAGACTGGAGAATGTCACTTCATTACAATTTAAAATCAGAATCTCAAATAGAGCATTGTTTATTATACTTAACTTTTTTTTTTTAAAATGTCTGAACAAGTTTCTCTTCCAAATAATTTTTAAGAAACAAGTGGTCCCACTGGGTACATTTGCCCCAGGAACTTACTGATGATTCGCAAACATTTGAGAGAAGGAATGAAAGCAGAATTCACCCACATCTCATGGTGCAACAGAATGATTTTGTGTAGTCTCTGGCATAAGGGAACTCCAAGCCAAAACCAACCCAGAACAATATGCAGTTGCCCAAATACCATCCAAAATGCATCTTTGACATCTCATGGTGCAACAGAATGATTTTGTGCAGTCTCTGACATAAGGGAACCCTAATCCAAGCCAAAACCAACCCAGACCAATATGCAGTTACCCAAATACCATCCAAAATGCATCTTTATCCTTGAATAAAACGTGTGAAGCTAGGAAGCAGCCTACATTTTAACTATATTAAACAAGTTTTCCAATACAAGAAGCCACTCTTTTTAACTTTTTCCTGGCTGTACAGGAAGCAGCCTACATTTTAACTATATTAAATAAGTTCTCAGATACAAGAGGTCTTTTTAACTTTTTCCTGGCTGTATCAGTTAGCCCAATAAAAGCGCATTATCTCTAGGACTTGTCCTCAGCTATTTGTGATGCTTTGCAATTGCACCTGAACTTTTCTATCCCTTGAAAGAAATTGGAAATTTCTGACACCTCCTTAAAATATGACCTGGAAAATTACCAGCTGCTCATTTCTGCACTCCCATTACCACTGCAGATTAATGACAATGTGTTTTATTTGGGAAGTTACTGAGTTAGACACAGCACCAACGTCTACCTTTTTGAAAATGTGGTGACAATATTTTATTTATTTTGTCTGTCAGGGTTCACTCTCATTTTTATTTTAGTTTGGAATGCTCTTCTATCAGAAGTATTTTGTGATAAGACAATATAATAAAAAAAGAAATCTTAAACAATGACCACTTGCATTTCTAACAGATGATCTGAGCATACAGCAAGTGTATTAGCTCCATTTCGTCAGCTAAGAGAAGTGTTAGAAGTTCTGTATCTAGGGAGTTATTATGTAATTCCACTGAAAAGAACTAGAATGATAAACTACCTAATTTTTGTACATTTCAGTTAATACAAAAATACTGGTCTTTTTATATAAAGTATAACAAATGGAAGCATACACACACATTTCATGGGACAACATTTTACTTTGTAATTTTAGAATGAAAATAAACAGGCATATTTCAGGTTTACCTTTGTATAGAGGTGAATTCTATCAGTATTCCTGCTTGCACAAAACATAAGCCCATCATATACTGGATAAGTGTCTGATTTATCTACTTCTCCTGTAAAGAGAAAAAGTGCTGATATGAAAAGGTTTTTTTCCTCATTCATTTAATTCAGTCTACTCAGATACTCAGACATTAAAAATAATATTATACATGCTTTTAAGAAGTTATTTCTGAAATTTCCCTATTTCATGTACAGGCAAACACATTTTTGTATGAACACTGTAGATCTATCTTTCTTTTTTTTTCTTTTCACCCCTCAAGTGTTCAACAAGGAACAAAACCCAGCTGAATATATACACCACATGAGGATTCTGTATCTAATTCCAGAATAACATAATAAGATACACAACTCAAGCAGCAAGCTAGTAAGATATTTGTGTCTTTTATTTTTCTGTTTCTCCTGAATTCCCTGTCATCAGTTTTGCCTGTGGCTTTCCTGAACACAAGTAAATGCCATCACAAGTTTCAATAAAAGTATACAGGTTCAGAATTGCTAGTTTGACACAGTTCTTAAGTCAGCCAAAAACTCTGTATTGCTTCAGGAGTCGCACGGAAAGGCTGGGTCTATCCACCATCCAAATTCAATAAACTTCCCAGGCTAAAACAAAAAAGTTAGGTGCTAGTGTTTGTACTTCTGCCTAACTTTGCAAGGTGTAGGGTTTTATTTAAAAGTTATTGTTCACGCCAGAGGCATTTAATACAGGTTTGGAATATAATAATTCTTTCATAGAAGTCCCACTTTACCTTTTCCACTCTTTTTTTCACTTTCTTCATTTTCAGTTTCAATAGTTTCCTGTTCACTCATTTCAACAGATTCCTGGGTCACCGTTTCCCCGAAATCTTCACTTCTATCTTCAGCATTGTGCTCTGCTCTCTCTTCAGTTCTCCTGGAGGCCTTTGACTCAACTTCCTCAGTCTGGCTCATGGGAGCTTCACAGTTTCTCTCAACTGTAGATGAAGAACCAAGAAAAGCAATTATTTATGTTACATGTACTAACAGGTACCTAATCAATACAGACAGAAGTATGTAATGTAATTGAAATACAAAGAAATTGCATTTTATTTTCTAATATTATCACGGCACAACACCCTAGGAAACTAGAGCTAACTTTAATATTAGGAGAATAAACATATGAAAGAAAGTTTGCCATTTATGCAATTTCATGCATCTAGCTTAAATGTCAAAATATATACAATAAATAATGCAATTCTTAATTCTATACTATATACAGTTATTGCACACCATAAACACACAAATTAGATTTCCAGGTGTTGATCTATACCAGTGAAAATGAGAAGTCAAGAACCAAGAAAAGCAATTATTTATGTTACGTGTACAAACAGGTACCTAATCAATACAGACAGGAGTATGTAATGTAACTGAAATACAAAGAAATTGCATTTTATTTTCTAATATTATCACGGCACAACACCCTAGGAAACTAGAGCTAACTTTAATATTAGGAGAATAAACATATGAAAGAAAGTTTGCCATTTATGCAATTTCATGCATCTAGCTTAAATGTCAAAATATATACAATAAATAATGCAATTCTTAATTCTATACTATATACAGTTATTGCACACCATAAACACACAAATTAGATTTCCAGGTGTTGATCTATACCAGTGAAAATGAGAAGTCCTCCTTACTTGAACAAGTACAGAATTCAATAAAATAAAATTTAAAAAAAAATAAAAAAGAATCTTACTCCTTCCTTGGCAACTGAAATAGCAAATATGGGGACAGTTTTATAAAAAATATTTTATTAAGTTTCCAGATAGATTAAATAAATTTAATAAAAAACACCTACTCTGACCTGTTGGAGCAAGAAATGCTATATTTTCCAGGTAATGTCTCTGGCAACAAATACTCCAGTTAACAAAATATCTAGACCATATCATTTAGTTTTGAGAGGCAAAGAAAAAGTTTGCCTTTTAATTGGATTCAGCATAACCATAAAGCTCAAGGAAAAGGAGAGCTACATTTGCTGCAAATAAAATGGAGCATATATTCTTCCTCACTGAATGTATACCCTGTTATCATTTATCTGAATTTTCCATTTGTTTCAAATTAGAAGCATGTAAAAGGTCCTTGGGGAAAGCAAAATTAAGAAGGATCATTTAACAGGTTCACATAAAGACACCACTCTTCATATTTTGCCTGGATTTGTGTATATTCTTATATTCAAAACCACCATATTTACTGAAACCAATCACAACTGAAGCGAAAAAGGCGTGTTTTTCTCTGCAGCACACACTACTTACCATTGCTGCTTTGAGGGGAATTGCACATTTCACAGTATGGGAGCAATGCATTATTACTGTAAGTGCAAACACTGCAGTGCCAAGCTTTATTTAAAGCTGTACTTTTGCTTGAAGTATCTAAGCCACAAGGAAGAACTTCATTGTTTTTTTCTGAAAACAAAGGCTGTTTTTTTCCAGTCAAAAAGTTGTTCTTTTTCTTACTGGAGCTGACTGGAGTAGATGCACTCATGCTTCTTGGTCTTTTTGCTTCATGTTCACAGGAACTTTCATGACAAATTGTATCCACATCACTTATGCTCGTGGAATCCAGGTTTTCATTGCTCTTCTCGGCACCCTCTTCTTTTGTGACTTCCGAAGATTCTGAATCATTATGTGATGATTCATTACAAGAAGATATTTTGCGTTTCTTCTCAGTGGAGGATTTTGGGGAAAAGAAAGAACGTATGTCATGCTGTCTTTCCTTTTCAAACTAGGAAAGAGAAAAGAAATATGTAAACTCCACTTACACAATTACCGCATGAGAGGCTGTTAAAATTATTATTTTTCTCCATTAATATTTGTCTCTAATAAAAGAAGCTATTTTAGTTTGGAGATAGAAACAAGAGATAACTTCCTTCAAGAATAAACAGCTAGGAGAAAAAGCAATTCAACTTCCCTCTTCTGTTTCATCAAAAGTATTTTCAGTATTCTCATGAAAACTCTGAAATTGCACCATCACAAAACAAGTACACAGAACTGATATGCTGCATACCTTCTTTGATTACAAGGAAAAGCTTTTAAACATTACTTTTAAAATTAAAGCAATTAAATTCAGTACAATACAAAGATGTAATTTAAACAGAAATTATTTGGTCTTATCTGACTCTGAGGGTGGGGTCAGTCACCTAAACTTAACATAAGGATCCATCATAAGCCTGTAGATGACATTTATACCCAGCAGAGCACTTCCTTAAAATGGAATTTACGTTACTTTTTCCTCACTTACTCAGTGGTTCTCCATTAGTAAAGTCTGCAGTGCACAGAAAAGTAAAGTGAACAGCGGTTGTAATTTTTTTAAAACGTAAGAAAATAGAAAAACATAAGTTTTGAGTCTTACATGTGTAAATAAAAGTTCATTTTTGGGATCTTCTAGACTTTCATTTGGGGTCCAGGTTTCAGCAAAACTCAAAAAGTCCCATTTCTCCTTATCACCTTCTTCAGCCTGCATTTTCTCTTTTTTGCCATTCAAGGTGCTGCCTGTGACTTTGGCCTGCAGAAAGAAGACTTGCATAAAGTTTCCAAGCAATTCACATGTTGGAATAAATTTATCTACCTAAATTCACTCAATTTGCTTCCCTTGCAAACTTAATTCAGCATTTGCAAAGTAAGAAACTGTAGTAATTCAAAATAACTTCAGTGATTACAACTATTTCTCTTCCAGCATCCATTTCTGCAAGAATAACAAGAAGTAGTGCATTTAACACACCATGATCTGTGAGGAGGTGTATACAAAATGTCAGTATTTATTGAAGTTAAAAGAGCATATATACATTGTGTACGTCTCTTACAGTCTCAACACATTTTGCTTGGCACGTGGGAGACAATTGAAGAATTGATTGAAAGCCGCAGTTTAGTGACAGAATTTGTAAGATAAACTGTTGGTGAACTATTGAGACCCGTCTGCACCGTGTTGGAGGAGACTCTTAATGTACTGGACTGAGGTTTTTTTCAGAGGTAACTACAGGAATCAGGAACTAGAAGACAAAATTTCATTCCCCAACTGAACATCAGACACAGTTTGCAGTGCTTAGGCTCTTTAAGCCATGATTACTTTTCAGCAGAAGAGGAATATATTGGCAAAAAACCAGTTATCAGTTCTGAATATAGTAACTCTACAGACACAAGAAATTGAATCACAACACCACAGTGGTAGCCAAATGAAGGACCAACAACTATAAGTTGACATTTGCACCAGAATAAATCCTGTATAACCACAATCTCAAATGATTTTGACAACTAGAGTTTAAAAGGCAGTTCTTTCTGTGTTGACACTTCTGAAAATGTCAGAAAACGAGGGCTGACAGAACACTAACACACCTCATTATCAAAACAAGACACTAATGAATGGTATCAAAGGCTACAAAAAGGTCACAAAAGCAAAACAGCCAAATTATTTTTCTTAGTCCTGTGAACTCTTGAAGATCTTCTAAATAAGGAAAGAAAGCAGAACAGAACTACTCCCTAACAAGAACTGGGTAATACCTGAGGAAAATGGCAACAGAAGATAAGATTACGATAATTTTGGGTCTACTGAAGAAGAACTATTTGAGAATGCTCCTGCCTCTAAGAAATGAAGTTCATTTAAGGCACATCATTCATCTAATAAAAAACAAAAAAAACCCCAACAAAACCACAACAAATTCCATAATAAGCTCTAGTTGTTATGAGTGAGCAGAAAACCTTAAAATTGTAAATTGAACAACCAGAGCAATAAAAAGCTAGAAGGAAGATACACCAATGATCTCTTGTAGATGTGAACCATCCCATTCATCTCAGCAAAGAGTTTACCTTATTTATCTTTGGATCTTAAACGGAGAGCAAAGAGCTAGAAAAGACTAATTCAGAACAGACATGGACATTTTGATGATTAGCAATTGTGTATCAATCTGTCTTACCATAGGACACAGCTCTAGCTAAGCAAGGCAGTTATTTGACATATGCCCTTGAAGTGCTGCCTTAATCACAGTGAGTTCTTGATTATTTGGTTCTATGCCACACATACCTTGCGATTCAGCATTGCCCACATAAGAGTGTCCATCGTTCCTTTTGCAATAAGGAAGTGAATATTCACAGAACTGCACTGCCCGATTCGGTGTGCTCTGTCTTCTGCTTGCTTTATATGGCCCGGGTCCCAGTATAACTCAGCAAACACAACGTGAGTAGCAGCAGTGAAAGTTAAACCCTAAACAAAACAAGTAGTTGCATTTTAGAAAGAAAAGATTCCACACGCAGACAAATGAATATTTGAAGTAAAACAAAGCTAAATGTTGTACAGAACATTTTTATATGGAAATAGGAAGGACCACCTGGACAGCAGATGGGCTATTACGTTGTTTTCTTCCTTGGGCCTCAGATGGATATTAAAAAGATTCAGAAAACATTGTGCAAGTATTCAATATTGTGCAAAGACTGCATACTGCTTCTCATTATGGAAGTAAGATGTATTTCTTATCAATCTAGTCCTTTTAGAGAAATTTACTAGTTATTAAAGAATGAGATGCTGCCGCTTATCTTTATTTTATTCAAGTAATTTCAACAGAGGCTTAAAACAGTTAACTTGATTAGTGCAAAAAATGAATACTTGAGTCTACAAAAGACATATTGCATGAACCGCCTTCCGTAAATCACTGCAGTAACCAATGACTTCAGTATTTATATTCTTCAAGTTTCTGATTGCACATACTTTCTTTTTTGTCCTACCTGACCAGCTGCCTGAATACTCAGAATAGCAACCCGGGTATCAGGATCCTTCTGAAACTGATTAACAAGATGAATTCTTTCTGCAGAAGGAACACTTCCATCTATTCGTATGTAGCGAACCTGTATCCCATCATAAAAGAGACAAAAATGAAATTATCCATGTCCATTTTTTGACCCAGTCACCCTCTATCCCCCAGCAAAAAATATGAAAAAAATCTGCTCTATTCCTGCCATAGGGACAGGGATACATCGGTACTCTGGCCTTTGATTTACAATTAAGCCTCTTTATCTAGAGAAGTGCAGACTTAGTATTCCCCGCTTACAAGAGCAGAAGACAGAACAACATGGGATCTTAAAACTGAATACTCTGTAGAAGACTCTGCAATTTCCTGGACATGATTTACTAAAATTCCAAGCATTTGCAAAATAGTAACAATATGAAATAGCAAAGTTAACCACTATTGCCTAGCAATGGTTAAGAGTCTGTGATCAAAACAATGTGAGCGTTGTTTGCAAATATTTTTACTGCTTCGAATTAAATGTTCAGGTGAGATGACAGTGTTCTGTAGAAAACAGGAAGGAGACAGAAACACTTCAGTGGAAAAACTTGGAAAACAACTCCCTACTACACTGATTCACTAATAATGTATCATACTAGATATGAGTGTTTACATTATCCTCAAACACAAAACATTTCTTCAAAACCACACAATCCCTTTAATCCAGTGGCACTGATCTGTATATACTTAAAATTCATAAATTCCTGCACACACGGGGAGTTCTACTGAATTCAAAGACAGCTCATACACATTTGTAAAGTCTGAAGTTAAATGTGTGTGGGCATTTCTTAAATCATTACCTTATTTTCTATAGCTGCCTCCGTACAGGCCTGAAGCATACTTAAGTGGTGAGCAAAAACTAGAAACTTCAGTTTGTCATTTTCAAGCATCATTTTGATATAGTCCTTTACTGCTCCTGCCTGGAATAAGAGTGTGTTTTCATTAATTAGACATACAAAATGTTCAAAAAGACAGTCTTCATTTTAATGTCGTTTGATTTCTTGCAATATGAAAAGAAAAATGACCACATTTTTTGTTATCCATTTAAAAGGTTATCAAACATATTTAAGTATAAAATTATTCAAATAATTTTTGTTTAAAAAAAAAAAACCACAACTTTATGTCTTTGTGAAACCTATCTCATTCCTCCAGGGAAAAAAAAAAACCTTTATTCTCAAAAGATCCCATAATTACATGACACTTCTTCCAGATTAAGGCACAGGTAAACTCCTTTTTAATTACAACATTATTATTTGATGTTTTAAGCCATAGTTGAAAAAACCAAACAATGAAAAAACATCCCAACTGATTTCTGCCCAAACATATTTCAAATAGACAATGTACTGTGCAATCAGAATTTCTGTATCTGCAGCCAGAAAGCCATATATCAAAACTGAAAGAATAATTTTGATATTTTCATGATACCATAATACCATCATAAAAGACTGCTCTAATTAAACATTCATAGAATTCTTCTGTGTCAAATATAATTTTCAATAGCTTTTACAAAAACTATTGAAGTAATGCTGACAATAATAAAAATTATCAGTGACCAGTGGTTAACACAATATCCACTGCATTATCCTCAGATTTCTATTTTTCTTCTTTTTTTTTTTTCTTTCAACTTTCTCTTTGAAAATGGATTAGCAGAGGGTAGGGCAGAGACTAGAACAGTGGGGAAGAAATAGCAACAGAACCACGGTGATATTTTTAAGATAAGGAGAGAAAAATTTGAGGGAGTTGGTTAGATTCTCAACTCCTACTGCTCCAGCAGCCAAGAGAATTACTTAATTTCTTTTTTCCTTTTCTAAAAATAGGTTAGCCTAATGGAACCTGGTAACTGGGTAAAAAGTAGGCATGTAAAGGATTTTGGTTATTAACTTGTTTTTTCTTACATCATAAGCTACAGTACTATAGGAGGAAAATACAGGGGGTCCCATTTGATAAAACAGAAAGAGCCCAGTGAGAGGGGACTGTTCGTCCACATTTATCCACAGGGAGAAAACCAGCAGAAGGGCTGCGTCTGCACCCTCCTGGGGCAGCTGCTGACACACAGGTACATCCCTGAAATACCCACCTGTGGTATATCCCTAAGTGTGACACAAGTTTAGTGCTGTTGGGTGACTATCTGGCCAGTCTCAGCCAGCTGGTGAATATCTAATCGGTAAGAGTTTTAATACTTAGTTCAGGTCATGATAATGGGGTTCAGTCTATTCTATAAACATACAGAGAAAAAGAGTGCTTCTCCACATCATGACTATAAAAGAAACCAACCAACCTCATCCAGTATTCAGGCCAATACAACTTTTAAATTAAAAACACACTGGGTATTTTAAATATATTGAGAAGACTTCCACACTTACCTTGGCAATGGCTGTTTCTTTATACATGCGTGTGATTAGATTCATGACTTGAGAAAAGTGGCTTTCAGTGGCATCCGAATTCAGATTTCTCATTAATCTCTCCCACTCTGCAAAAGTGGTATTCAAATTCTAATTGGCAGAAGAGATCAGTAGTTAGATACATAGTACAAAGCATGTTCTACCTCAACATGTACATTTCAAGCACAAAATGTTCAGGAACTGAGTGCTTTTGAGAACTCTATCAAATTTGTCTAAAAATAACTTTAGGATTCAAAATCTAAAAGAAGGAAGATGATCATACTAAAATCAGAGCAAATGTAACCATCATCTGATACCAAAAAATTGCCATGTTCATGTTCTTCATATTGTATTTTAAAAAGAGATGCTATGCTATATAGTCACACATTCTTTGTAACTATAACACACATGCATACAGATAAATACATATGAATACATAAATATTACTATTTACTAACAAATGTGTTTTTAGCAAAAGTGGAAAATTCACCTTAGCTGCAGCTTGAGGGAGATCAAATGGAATACGTTGCCTGACTTTGGGAGGCAACTGTGTTAGAACATCATTCTTCAGTCTTCTGATCATTATTTCACTTAAAAGTTGATGTAGCTCTTCTAAATTTGAAGCTCCTCTACAGTCCCATTGAGTTCTTTTACCAAAAAACCTGAAAATGAAAAATCAACACTGAGGGTAAAAAGTAGCTCTAGTAGATAGAGAGAGTATCATTCAGGTATCATTTTATTACTCTGGTGTCAGTGGACTAATGAGAAGACTATCTCACCATGAAAATCCTCACTATTATATTATAGATGGGAATAACTGATACTATGATGAAAGCTGCAAATATCACCACTGATATTCCTTTATTTCCCCCCTCTCTTGAGAATTCCCTCCTAGTTATAGTCAGAGAGACAGGACTTAAATCTAAAGGCACCACCTTTAAATGTACTATTTAATGAGCAAGGCTACCTGGAGGAAGTAGGTTTAAGGCTAAAACATTGAAAAGACAAAAATTATTAACTAAGCCTTCCCTGTTCTTTCTTTGCTTTGTTGTTTTTAAGGAAGTGTTGCAGCAGGAACAGCAGCTTTTCTCTGTCAGCATTGCCAGGAGATAACAAAAGAATGAGCATGACAGATTTTGCTGCCTTTGGAGAAAAGCCCAGGTAGCATTTTCCAAGGCCAGGAGAGTATGTTGCAAGCATGTAATTTTACTGAGTTTTTAAATTTCATTTTATTACTATAATTTAGAGAATTTTAAGCCTTACTAAGCTTATCAACAGTGGGTTAGTTACCTGCCTATAATTATTTGGGAAAGGGGCTGAGGGATTCACTTCTACACTGGTGAAGTACTGGCAAAGCACACTCAAAATGTTACAAAGATGGAAGCCAGCAAGATCTTTTGCTCACATCTCTTCTTTGGTTCATTTATAGGGCTGTCCTTAGAAAGGTTTCCCCCCTCAAGCTTAAGCATTCAGGTTATAAAAGAAATCAGGCAAAATCTCACAGAAATACTTCACCCCTCATCTTTAGAAACAGGTGTCTATGAAAACACCTAAGTAAAAAAATCAACCCAACATTTTCACAGAAAGTCCTGCCTAAAATAATCCTATCAAGTTTATTACCACAAGATGTTTTGTTTCAGCCAAGTCATGAAGACAAAGTTATTTATTGAAAGCTTGCCAAACCCTAAACTTGATTTTTATTACGTTTATGGTACTCCAAAAATAAGGTAATCATCTATGATTGAGTAGCTAACCATGCTGTACCCACGCACACTTGTGGTGTGAAAATTACAGATGCATTCAGTCAAAACACCGCGGAAAAAATAGCATTTCTCTGTCTGAAGATTAGACAGCGCTCTTGCACGTTATTTGAAGTTAAAATGCTGATAAAATGCATATGATGGAGAAAAACAAGTTATCTGAAAATGAAACCATGTAATTATTACTGTAAAAATTAAATTTAAATGCTAGCCAATTTAGCTGACAAAATCTATTATTTTGAATGTATGCAAAGTTGTAGAGAAGAAATTTTTTAGCTAAGAAATTTTTAAAAGTTCTTCCTGTCTCATAATTTCTTTCATTCCAGATTGTAACATAGATTCAGATGGGTAAAACTAAGCGTTTTAGATCGGAGTTTCTTCTGTCCTATTCTATTTTAGAACACAGAGAAACTGATCGTTAAATTAAAGCTGAGGGAAGCAAGTCAGAGGGAAATGAACCCTCCTGAAGCTAATAACTTAAAGCACAGGAAAGATGAAAATTCATGAAAGATGCAAGGGATAAAAATGGGTTAAAATTCATTAGACACATGTTTGGAGGAAAGTGTAATGAGCAATGTTACCTGGCAAATTTGAGGCAAGCTGGTGGACAAGAACTTACAATGCCTATATTTGATCCCTCACACAGAATTACACACACATTACCGTGCTTTTGGGAGTTCTATACCTTTACTTTTACTCAAGTCAGCCCGTAAAATATGGAGACAAACATTGGTCTTTTTCCCCACCCAAGTATGGAGGGATAGCAAATAACAGAGCTGTAAATTATTACATGATATTACATGGCTGAGACTCAGAAACTCCTAAATTTCAGCTGTCACTGAAACTCCAGCTCTAAAGGTAAAACCTACACACTTCATACCAATGACAGTAAATTCATAAATCATTTTACTTCCCAGAATGCTGGTACTTCAATACCAAATCAAATACCAATCAAACTTCAATAGCTTCCAATTCTGTCCTCAAATAAAGTCTCCTGACAATTTAATCCTCTTCCCAATCCTCTCTGATGTAGGAGACGGCATCTGACCCTGACTTTCCAAGATGGTATGATAGAGCAATAGAGGTACTACTTACTGATTCTCTCACCTCACATGACAAGAAAATTAAAGACATTCATAGGAAAATGAATGAGCAAGTACAGTAATACCTGACACGAGCATTGCAGTATTTTTTGGCATATTGATTCCAAGTTCCAAATCTTTTTGGAAACAGTGCCTCAATCTGCATGAAAAGCTGTATAAATAAAAAAAGGGACAGTGAAAAATTGCCTGAAAATGTAAGAGTATTCAGAAGTAATTATTACATGCCTATTATGTTAAGTTTACATTCAACAGTTGCATAAAAAATACACAGCTTGGCACACATGTAAAAGATATTCCATAGGAATATGCAAGTGTTTTGAGACAGAACGGCTGTAGGAAGCCCTCAACAGAGCACCCTGAACACTACTAACACAGTGCTGATGACCTGGAAAAGATTTATACTGAACAAGAAAACATGGATGAGAAGATGTTATTCCTAAAAATAGAACATTTGTCATTTACCAGGTACATAGGCAAAGCTTCAGTGCAGGTATTCCATGAATAGTCTGCTTCTTAAAATACATGAAAAACCTACTCATTCTTAAGTTTTACTTTAAAAAATAGACTATGTCAATACAGACCAGAAATTTCACACCTTTCTTCCTGGTTGAGTAACAGGAGGTAAATATCAGTTTAGACAACCTTAACAACCAGAAAGAACCCCACTTTACAAGCTATTTTACTGTCAAAGCTTTCTGGATTAAAAATAACTATTAGATCCAAGACACAGTGTTGAGGGGTAGCACAGAAACAACAGTAATATGGAAGGCTCTCTCCCAAATGCATTTCCTTGCTATCCTCTTAAGTCTACTGTACATCACTTCTGCCATTTAAGCGTTCATATTACCTAATCACATCCTACTGACCTCTCAAAAGAAAATTACTACAGCCTAATTTTATCCTTCACAAGATTCTTTCAAGGTGGAAGGCAGAGAACCGAAAAGCAGTAGTAAAAAACAAGAAACCAAAACCAACACCAACTTATCTGTCCAGTGAAAAGCTGCTATTTTGACACTGACTGAGGCCAAACAAGAAACTGTCTATAATTATTTGCTATAAATGTATATAAATAAATAATGCTTCTCATTTTCTATACATATGCCATTTAAAGACTTCATAGAAAGGTTCTGCGTATAACATGAAACTGAGTAGAGAGACGTAATGTTTTTTATACTCTGTCTTGTAAACTATAACAGAACTCTGGTATCACTATAAAAATGTCTCAAATTGTCTTCCATTCAGTCATGTTTTGATCCCATTACCAGGAAAGGGATTTCCTTTGAGGACCTTTAGTGATGTTGCTTACTGATCTTGGTATCAGTAAGCAACTGTATAAAAGTATACAAGTACATAAAAGTATAAAAGTATAACACAGAATTCATATACATGCAGGAAATGCCATAATTATCATTATTATCATCATAATCATCATCATAATACAGATATAAATACTTCTTTTAAAGTATTAAAGAAATGCACATAATATACAAAGGCCTTTTTCATATAATGGAAAACTTTCTCAAGTTATAACCTCTCTGAACAAATTAAAAGGTCTTGGCATAAGCAAGAAAATCTAAGGTGTAAAGTATTATTTATATTAACCCTTATAAGTTCCCTGCATACAAATTAGCTCCTATATTCCATTTATTTCTACATTTGATAAATAAAGGCAGTTTTCTTGCATTCAATATAAAACCCATGTGGTTTTGGTTTCCTCTCTGCTGCTCCCCAATTCCATTAGTTGAACTTCCTTCACAGGAAAATTTGTCTTTCTGGACTTCAACAAGCACAAGATATATTTTTTGCACTTTTGCAATACAAGTGAACCTTTGGAATATCCAAAAGACAAGCGATAAACAAAGGACTTCCTATATCAGATGAGGAAGCAGAAGTTTTAATACATGTTCTTGTCTACCAAGCACTCTCCTACGTGGTAGAAACAAATAGCTCTCTACTTAGGCCTCTCTGTTTTCTGTTTCACCCAACAGCCAGCCTGTGGAGTGTGAGATTTATTTCTTACAAGAAACACTGTCTCAAGTCACCTGTGCACAAGCTTGAAACAAATCTGTAAACACCAATATAATCAACTCAAACTAAAAGACATTGCTTTCATTGCTTCAGTTTCTTATATTTGTGCTTCCTGATGCAGCTAGTGCACTGTTTGATGTCATAATGCATATAATTGTATATATTCAAGAAAGCTACACAATTGTTCATTTATTACTGATACCATCCTTTCAAAAAACCCCAAACAAAACAGAATGTGTCAAATACCTCTTCAGGTCTTCCTAGAGCAGGAGTTCCAGTAAGAAGAATAGCTCTAAGAGCTTTCTGCACAATTGGCAACAAAATCTTGCTGCGGGTGGCATTTCTGGATTTCATATAATGGGATTCATCAATCACAACTACCTTAAAGTTCTGCCTGTACAAAGTGTCTACCAAAGTCTGTGCATCAGAAGTCAACAGGCCATACCCCAGAATCGTTACTTTGCTGGTTGATATTCTCCTAAAAGAGAAAATCCAGAAGTTTTCTTAGTAAATTTTCATTCTAGGAAAATTAACTTAGCAAAGGAATTATACCAAACTGATATTTTTTTTTTGCAAGAAGTTTTGTATGAGACCTTTTGGATTGATGAATTAGTGGGCTGTCAGGCTAACAACAACAGCTTTTGGTGTTTAAAACATGCTAGCATCTCACATTTATAAATCACACCCATTTCATAACCATTTTCAGAAGACATACACTGCATTTAGAAGGAATGCCATTTATCTGGTTGCTTTGCTTCAACTTGTGCTCCTTTCCAGGAGTATCTCATGGGACAAATCCACTTGCTGGATCAAAATTTAGCCACGCAGGTCAGATCATTGTGAGCACACTTTGTAATCAGCACCCAAACACCTGAACTAATAATCACAGAATCGCAGAATTTTGTGTCTCTCCACAAGCTACCTACTGCCCTGTGTACAAAGAGTCACTTTAGCAGCAGAACAAATGACTAACTAGACTGTCTCTGAGTATCTGGGTACTGTAAAAGTACAGTCTGGACTGAATCTCACCACCTGAAAAAAACCCCACATTCTTATCAGAGCCATCTCTGCAGCTTTTTTGCTTGAACAGCCTATGAATTAAACAAAACTGGAAGCAGGGAATCAATAAGGCACAAGATGGAAAACTAGTATTTAGTTGGAAAGGAACTTCTTACAATATATTTAAAGACATATAAGCCCAAAGCACAAATTGATTTCAATATCACTAGAGAGCACTGTGGCCCTTCAGGAGCCTTTGAGCAGCACAGGAACTCTTAAGGTTGTGAGACAAACAAGTCACCAGAATGAGAGTCAGAGCTGGGCGACCCATCTGTCAGACACTACCGCTCTGCTGGCATGATTTTCATTTGTTCCCCAGCAGCAACATCAAAAAAAAAACCCACTAAGTTGAAGTTTCCTTCACTATTTAAGAGGGAGAAAGTACGTGTACAGTCATGTTTCTGGATATGGAAGGAGAGGCAATGGTTAGAGCACTGGTGCTGTGCTCGATGCACTACACACTCTGGCTGGTGCTGTTTAGATAAATGTAGCAACAAGAATTTCTCCTACCCCTTTGTGAAGGGTGGATAAAAAGATACCAATAAAATTATTTATTCTTAGTGGAACCAATTTATTCAAGAAACGTCCAGTTTCAAATTCAGTTAGAAATTATAAAAACCTAAATTGATGCCTAAGTATATTTTAACCTGTTTAAATTAAGAAGTTAAACATCATTCAAGCAGAAAAATTCATTGCTGAAGTTTTCAAGAAAAGGAAAGTATTGAACTTAGAGAAATCAAAGCTGAACATATGGAAGCAGAATTTAACAAAATGCTAAAGCAAGTTTGGCAGCTGTATTTTTGCATTTTCTTGCAAATGCATAAAACACTTCTTAATGTTAAAATATTAATTAGTTCAACAGCTACCTCACTTACAGCTAGGAAGCCTCCTGGAAGTTAAACAAGCAGAAAACCAAGTTTTCCTCTTTGCTTGTTGTTGAACAAAAGTGACAATGGTTAAGGTCTACTCCTTTAAAAAATGCTGAAAGATAAAACAAACAGAATTCTGTTTGGTATTTACTTTGCCATCATTTGTCCTTTCTATATTCAGTACTACAAGCATTAAGTTTGTGTGCATTTTAGCTAAATAGCTTTTAAAAAAAAAGACTCATTAGATCCTTATTTTAATTCCCATGTTCCTAAGAAAAAGTTAAATTTTGACTATCAGTAGCAACTACCCCTTGATTAAGTTTTTTCAGTAGCAACTACCCCTTGATTAAGTTTTTAAGATGCATTTGCAGTTGGATTTATCCAGTTACGACAATGAAGGTTCCAAGCTACTGTCTCATCTGCACATCTTGGTGGTCAAGTCACTTTCTGATACCCCCCAGACTATGTGAAGATCAGTTTTCCTTACCCAGAGGTTTTAGAACAACATCTAGACATCACCATGAAATCAACCAAGTCATTTACAGTGAAGCTGAGTAAATACCCTTGTAATTGACTGTAACAGGAGAGTTATTCTAATAACACCCAAGACTTGTAGTCTCTCCCTGATGAATTCAAGCTATTAAGTCTAAAGATAGAAAACTTAGGTCATGATGACCTTTTCAGTTATTTAGAGAATAGTTATTCTAACTTACAAATTTTCTCAGTGCGCTAAATAGAATTTTAACAGTAATTACATCCTTATTTTGTAACGCATACCAGAAGTTTTCCAAAAATATGTTCAAAATGTTTTACAGAGGCTAATGAATACAAGATAATTCAGAGTTGAGAAATAACTGTATATGCTCAATTTCAGACACGCTGAAGTAATCTAATTTCCAGCAGACAAGTGGTAGCTACTTTGCAACAAACAGACCTCTCATCTTCAAAGGAGACGAGTAACTACTGTAATATAGTAACACAAAACTGGGAGGCGTGTGCATGGTCATGCTGCCATCCAGAGGGCCCTCGACAGGCTGGAGAAACGGGCTGACAGGAACCTTGTAAGTTCAACAAGGAGAAGTGAAACGTTCTGGGGAGGAACAACCCCCTGCACCAATATATGCTGGGGGACACCCATCTGGAAAACAGCTCAGCAGAAAAGGAGCTGGGGGTCCTGGTGGACACCAAGTTGAACATGAGCCAGCACTGTGCCTTTGGAGCAAAGATATCCTCAGTTATGTTAGACAAAGCAGTGCCAGCAGGTTGAGGGAGGTGATCCTTCCCCTGTACTCAGCACCAGTGAGGCCACACCTAGAGTGCTGTGTCAGTTCTGCGCTCCTCAGGCCAAGAGAGACATGGATGTACTGGGAAGAATACAGTGAAGGGCCATGAAGATGCTTAAAGCGGAGCACTGGGACTGTTTAGTTGAGTGATGAGAAGGCTCAGGGAGGATCTTCTAAATGTATATATATAGCTGAATGGAGGGTACACAGAGGATGGTGTCAGGCTCCTTCCTTTCTGTGGTGCTCAGCAACAGGACCAGAAGCAATGGGCATAAACTCAAAGACAAGAAGTTCCTTCTGAACATCAGGAAATGCCTTTTTTACTGCAGAGGTGATTGAGCACTGGCACAGGTTGCCCAGAGAGGTTGTGGGGTCTCCACCCTTGGACATAGCCAAAAGCCATCTGTGCATGTCCTAGGCACCTGGCTCTAGGTGGCCCTGCTTGAGCAGGGGAATTGAACATGCCTTTCTATAGAAGAATAATGAATTTTACTCACCCAGTATCAGTTTTGCTCTGAATGATGGTAATATCATCTGGAGAGAGTTCTGGAATCCACTTCTCCATCTCATCAACCCAAGGGTATCTCAGAGATGAAGGCACTACAATTAAAAGGGGCCATTCATGTTTATAGTAGTAGGAAATGGCAATTGCTTGAATTGTTTTACCTAGCCCCATCTGGAAAAATAAAATAAAAGAAAAAAATTAAAAATAGAGGTCTGTGCTCAGAGAGCATATTCCATTCAGAAAAGCCAAAAATATTTTGCAAAGATAGAACGAGATAATGGAAACAAAGCCAAAGAGCTAGTTACATAGTGTCCGTTTCATTGTCAATTTGTTACCAGAGACCATCTTTTATGAAAGAAGATGCTTCTCTTTACATGGATTAATAGATATGTTACATCTGGTTAGCTCATTAGAGCTAAGAGAAGTATTTTCATTCGTTTCAGATGATCTTCTGTTCAGGGTATTAGTAGGGTGGACAGACAGGGTACACAGATCCAACTCTAACTTGTAAGTTAAAAAAAATATTTTTAAAAGGCTACTCAAAGGGAAGAAAAATATAGGATGTCTTTTTAACATAAAACCAACTTTGTCCTAAGTTGCACAGGCAACTGAAGGACAAAGGAAGATCTGTATGAAAAACTCTGCTTTTGACCCAGTAAGTCAACAAAAAGAAACTACTGCTTTCATTCCCCATAGCTAATAGTTTCTCTTTATTCTGTAACACTGCATAGGAAGTCCACCTAGTGGAGAATTCAGATTTAAAGACAATGTGAAGGGTCAAGATAGAATACACAGTTGTGTATGTAACAGAAAGTACTTGCTTCATATTGCCAAGGCAGGAACGCTCCTATCTAATGAGTTACGAATATAGATAGGAACAGATTAATATAAGATCCAGAATTTAGCATTTTGCTTAAGAAATAAAATGCCCAAGATTTTTTCAAAGAATGCAGCTATTTTCTCTGCTTGTTCACATGGCAAGAGATAGTTTCAGATTCCTCTTAAGCACTACAGCAGAGACTGGCCTTAAAATTTCTGTTGAGGTTTTCCACAGAGTCTAGTGGATATTTGAGTTGATTTGCTGCTCCGTAACTACTCACAGTACAGACAGGAAAGAATAACATACTTATATCCTCAGTATTGAGTTTAAATGGACTGATGTAATGCTATCACCAAGAGATTTGCCAGGTATAGAGGAAAACATAATGAATATTTCTACTATTACTAGAAAGAAAAAGAATCAGAGAACTACTGTGATACTAAGTTTTAATTGAGAACTGCCAAGTTTTCATTAAAATTTTCCTGCAAGCCCTCCTTGTGTCCCCAGTAGTGCTTGAGCCAGCTGAAAACAAATCCAAGAAAATAATAATTAAAAAATCCATTATTTTTTAGTTTGTTGCCACAGTTATCTCCCTAACTCAGACTGCCAGGTCACTGGTGATGATCCAGGCAACTGAGCTGAAGCGAGCAGGGAATAAAAGCCAGGTCACTGGCAGTAGCGCTCCCACAACAATCTAGATCCAATATAGCTGATCACTGGTCTAGATTGTAAGAGTGTGAGAGACAGGAAAAAACACAGAAAATATTATGGTCTTATTTTTTCATTTAAACACATCTTTCTCAGTCATGGAAATGTCTAACATGGAAAACACGAATTTTTTGGGGTAAAATTCTTGCCTGTTCCCACTCCAACAAGGAAAGGCAACATATTTTTAGAATACCTTTCAAAGAGATATTTTCAAAAAGATATACTTTAATCCTTAGATAATTTCATAATCCAGTTATATATGCAGTAATTATACGATCTCTAGTTTTCATATATAACTTCTTTTTGTATAGAATTTCATGATACTGATGCTTTTTTTTACCAACATTTTCTTTTTATTTTAGAGATATGTCAACAAGCTCAAGATACACACCACTGCACAATACTTCCACCAGCACCAGACTTATTGTGATTATGAAATATACATTATTTACTTCAGAATAAATATATCTTGCAGTACTTTTTATTGCAAACATAATTATGCACAGTTTATTTTCTCATTCAAGGAAATAAAAAACTTGTTTTAATAAACAAATAGCTGCTGCTGGTATTTCAATTTTTGCCAAGCTTCCCTTTTCTCCTCCCCTGAATGCTTTTGTATTCTCCAAAGTTTCCAGAAATTTCACAGTCTATGCCAAGATTTTTTATGTCCAGCTGTAATGAGATTTTTATACTATGAGGAGATGCTTTAATCCCAGTAATCAATCAATATCTCTCTCCCTCCCTCTCCCCCCACACTGTTTCAAGAAAATCCAAATTTGAATTGGGAGACTATATGAATTCCTAAACATCACCTCTTTTTCAGTAAGGTTTTATAGTGACAACACATCAAGAACATTATACTCTATTATAAAAATGTTTTACCTGTGTGAAGAAATGCTGGACTTCAATTTCATTAGTATGGAATAAAATATACATTTTCAAATGTATGAAAGTAATGAGTTTCATTATTACCACTTGATCAGTGCATTTAAGAATACTCATTTTTGGAAAGCATATCAGTTCAAGATCCACCTCTTTGGGCCAGGAATGTCTCCTAATCCAATAAAAATAGCTAACTATGCAATTATAAAGTGCTTTAAATAAATCAAAATCAATTGAGCTAATATTTTTAAGATTTAAGAATACAGGAGATTTAACCTACATAAATACAATTAAAAGTAACCTTCTAAGTTTTCTCAAAGATTCTTTTAAGCTTGTGTCAGGTTTCATTTTTTTTTACCCCCACTTAGATATTTTCAGAATTCTGCTGAATATCACAGGAATTAGACTTCTTTCATTAGCAACCTTTCTGCCCACATCTCTCAAACAAAAAAAAGTCACATCTGCATGAAGTACTAAATGAAGAGAAATAGCGTTAAAGGAACAGGAACATCACTTACCTCATCAGCAATCATACACCTAAATAAGAAACAAGAAGACAGGGGTGGGGGGGAGGGAAGCAGAAATTAATAATAAATAGCAGATAAACCAATAAATAAATAGCAGATTAAACAATACTTACAAATTGTTTACTATAAATTTAAGTTATGGATTTACTGAATCAATGAAAGTAATAAAGGTAGACTTCATTCTTACAGATATCAATGGCAAAAAGTAAATTTGGTATGAATTTGAAAACACACATGCCTATTAAAAACATATATTCAATTTGTTAGCATTACTGAAGAATTTGTATTGTAAAACTGAATTGCTGCTTTGATCTAGTACTATATTAACTGTAATCTTAAGAGACATTTTCAAGGCAAGAAGTGCATCTTCACTTTTATTGTCTTTCAGAAACAGCCATGCATTTGCTGCTTCATGATAAGGATTATTTATGTGTCAGACTGGTTTTAGAAAGCTGCTTTCCAGAGCTGTCACATTTGTTTTGAAACAGAAACAGACACTCCCTCTCCCCCGCCCATTGTATTAGCTAAAGTATTAGAAAATGAAATTGGGTTTTTTCCCCATTTAGGAGACAGTTAATGCTGCTCCATGTAAAGACAACGATAACTCCAAGTCCCCAGTCAAAACTAGTAAATTCTGTCCAGCATATTTACATTTTATAAACATTAAATGACATCTTTGATATGAATTTCTTATAGGTATCTTAAGTTCTGTTTATTTCAGTTATTTAGTACAACATTCTTAACTCAAGTAGGGTCTAGGGAACTTAAGGGTTTCTAGCCCACGCGAGCTTCTTCATCAAATTTTTGAGACTGGATGAAGGACAAAGGAAATTATTTGTTGGCCACTTAGTTAAGCCATTAACTGGATGATGCTGCATCTTTCCAAATATGTACCCTCAGCTATTTCACCTACTTTTATCTCCACTACTTTGCAAACTTCTCCAAGCTGGAAAAACTCCACAAAACAAACAAAAATCCTACAAACCAACAAGCCCTGTCCAATTCAAGAGCATTATCTACAGAATTACAGAAGATTGTTCTACGTCTAGTAATAAGCATCTAAAATACATATATTCAATTCATACATGCCAATAAATTTAGAGGAGGGCATGAATCTAAGCAAAAACTGCAAAGATAAGAAAAAGGCATAGGCACAACCTTTAAGTCTTACAGCAAGATGATGACTTAAAATTCCCTTTTCTCTTACAGCAACCCTGGACTGCAGGAAGATACAGATTTACTAAGCATCTTCTGACCAGAATCAATGCTGGGAATTCCAAGGCAAGATCCGAAACAGGCATAAAGTTTCTGCAATTTCATAAGAATTATCAGAGTTCGATAGCAATACCTGCTTGGGCTGCAGTTAAATAACTGGCAATTAGATCCATTCTCCAGTGACTAAGTAATCTCAGAAGTTTTTCAAGCGCTGTATAATTTTCTAAATTGTCAGAAAAAGCAAACTGAAGAATAACTCCCACCAGTCAGTATCGTAGTGCCACACAAAGGGCATGGGATTAGTCAAATCATTGATAGAGAAATACAGCGGCGAGCGCTGTTGGTTGAACTAAGTGACAGCAAGAGACTGACAGCTCCATCATTTGCCTTGAGGATTTATAAACGTTTACTGACAGAAAAGAAGTGCTGAGTCTCAGAAATGATGAAATATTTCAAACTCTGGAAGGAAATAATCTTGACAGGCCACTCTGCTTGTTTTCCCCCTGACTCAAGTATCCTTCTGCCTTGTGCTTTTCACTTCTCATCCCCTGTAGCTTTCACTCACGGACACAAACTCGTCTCGATGAGTTGCTCTGGGTGAATTCTTCTTCACAGTCTGTTCCCAGCCACTGCGCCTTGTAAGGAAACCAAAATTTCTCCTGCTTCTATGCCACAGAACTAGATACGCACCCAGTGCACCGTGTAACCCACATGCAATGTTTCTTCCGTGAAAAAATTAAAAAGATCTTGCAGGTTTCACTCACGGACACAAACTCGTCTCGATGAATTGCTCTGGGTGAATTCTCCTTCACAGTCTGTTCCCAGCCACGGCGCCTCGTAAGGAAACCGAAATTTCTCCTGCTTCTATGCCACAGAACTAGATACGCACCCAGTGCACCGTGTAACCCACATGCAATGTTTCTTCCGTGAAAAAATTAAAAAGATCTTGCAGGTCTCTATGTCTATAATGAAATTTAACACACTATGACAGAAATGTTCTTCATTTTGAGACCAAAAATCTTTTAAAGTAATGCAGAAGTACTTTTTAGTGTTAGTGTAGCTACACAAAACCACAACAGAACCATCTTTTCTGCACAAAACCCAACCACTTTACACTAACGATTAATGGCTGTAGCAGCACCATCAACTTAGAGCTGTCATTATGTCTAATAACACATAACTTGCCATGGGGCCAAACCACACATTTCTGTGGTCAAAATAGACATCTCGGCAGAAAATGTACACTGGCACTTTTCAGACATGATGTGCAAGATAAATATTTGATATTCTGAGAAACATAGTATACTGCTGTTTGCTCACCCAATCTGCCAGCGTAAATTTCGACATCTACCAATTTCATCAGTTTCTTTCAACTAACATAAAAAAGAGTTCAAAACATATCTTATACAAGTGAATTTTTTGTAAGTAACAAACTATGTACTTGCAATAGTTTTGTAACCACACTCCCCACCCCAAGTTATTAGGGATGGAGCAATGAAAACAGAGGAAGAAAACATAACAAAACAAACACCCCAAGTCTGCACAGATTTACAAAGGAAAAAAGGCAGGAAGAGAATTATTTTTAGTGGCAGCTCATGCTTGTGGGGCCTTAATGTCTGTGATTTGCAGCTGGGCAAAGACATTTATTTGCAGACAACTAATACACAATTCCAATTTTAAAATAATGTTTTTGCTCAAAGACTGATTATTATTTTTTTTCCATTTAATACTCATTGTTAATTGTGTGAATTGAAGTTTACAAAACAAGCCTTTCTTCTGGCAGATTCTTTCAGAGGCCAACTGCTTTCAGTACATTAATCATGTTTTTTAAAAGCAGTTCAAAGCCTGAAATCAATTGAAATGCACAACAACCTGGTGTTGCAGCGTTTTTCAAGCTCCTTACGCAAATCCAGAAAATGAGTAAGACTATAGCAATTAGCTACAGAACAGAGACATCTCAAGAAGAAACCAAAGACCTTTTTCAATAATACAGCATATTTCATATAAGGTTATGAGAGCAAATGTACAAAATATAGCAATAACCGAGAGTACATTGCATCCAAGTTGCATCTGGCAGTACGGAAATATGGTAAAGAGGACAGGCATACAAATGTTCCTTGCCAACTTCTGCTGAAAAATACAGTATTTCTCAGCATATCAACTTGTATTTTAGTAGAATTACATAAATAATGACACGTTAATTATGCCAGTTCAGACACACTGAAATCAAAGTGAGAATACATAAGACCCTATTGCACTGTTCTTCGGCATATGTGAACTATTTAGAGCCTCATTCTGCTTTTTTATGTTAACAAGTAAAAAGGAAGAAATTCAGAGTGAATTACAAATTGCTCTGACAATCAGAAGCTGAACAGCAATTACAACAAAAAGTCTTCACAATATGCCAACCACAGGAACAGATTTTTTTCATTAGAGTGAACTGTAGCCACTTAAGACTTTGATGACTTGAGTATCTGCTGAAGAATAGGAAGTTGTTCTGTTTTCTTTTTGCAGTATTTTCAGACTGTGCTCATAGAATCTTCGCTGCTATAGGGTATCTTTTGTTTTCAGGCCTATTAACTGCCATTTAATATGTCTGAAGTGAATGTTCTTACGTAGCAGCAACAAAGTTGCTGGCTTTTAAATATAGAAACTCATCATTTTGTTGCTGGTAAATGAATGGAAGCACAAAGTAACTGCCATAATTTTATTCATAACATAAACACTCTTAAGAGATGATCACAGTAAAGTGATTAACATGGTTTTATCTTCCTTGTTTCTGCAGTACCAATACAAATAGAGATTCCACAGTGAAGTATTCATTTTCTTATCCCACCCAATGCTGAAAAAGCTTTGTCATAAATACTTCAGATTTTCTTCCTATAGTTGCAACCCATACATTTTTAGTCATGTAAACATTTGACTAGACACATCACAGATTGATATGAACCAGGTGCACAAAATTGTTTTTAAAGCTCCAGTTAGAGCATCTGAATGTGTTAATCTGTTAATCTGAATCTGTTATGATACCGTTAGCAACATGAATCACTGCTTTGAGCCACGCTGTTCATACTCAAATTCTTGAAGTGCTACAGTTTTAAAATTGCTGATTTGTGCCAATTAATTAACAGTATTGACACTTACACTTGATAAAACTTTGACATGACACATAAGATGAGTTTATGATACAGGAAAAAGTTAATAAAACTAACATAAGTGGAAATGGAGGATATTCAAATTAATTTATGACTTAATGCATTTTAGAGCATTCATGCTCTGTAGTTTTCACAGTTTTAGAACAAGAACCTTAAAGATGCCTGCTTAATGTAGTTACAAAAATGTAGTTACAAAATACAAGAAGTCCAACATTTTTTCATTAGAATCTAGGGCAATGAAAAAAAGCTTTTATTACTGAAAGGGAAAATCATTGAGTGTTCTCAGTTTATAATCAAAACGATCAGATTTGAAATTTAAAGAACTTCCCCATCATTATAGTCCAGATCACACAGAACTCATAAGATACCCAATAGTTGCACTAAGCTGTTAAAAAGCAACGCTTTACATAACCTTAAAAATACACAACCTTTATTTAAAATGGACTTCAGTATGTTCTTTATTATGGCAGTCAGACAAGCTGCCAACATGAACGTAAAGGTTTCATGCTGTCAAATCAGAAGAAACAGATCTTCAGCTACATTGAAGGGATAAACATGTATTTTTGTTTCACGTATTTTGACTGCAAGAAGACAGACTTCTTGTTCTCTGAAGTTCAATTAGTCATTTCCTCTCAACTGG